TCGGCCCTTTCGACACATCCCGCCAGACTTGTGCAGGAACTGGAACAACGGGCGATGCACCAACGGTTCGAACTGCCGCTTCAAGCACTTGTGTGGAACATGCAGGGCGGCCGACCACACCGTCCACGAGCACGATTCAACGCAGCATAAGCCTGCCAGTAGTACTAACGCCAAGGCCGGAGGTGGCGACGCCCGTTTTCGACGAGAGACTCGCTGAATTACTGGTAGAGCATGATGACCGTGAGGCTGTGTGTTTTCTATTGCAGGGTTTCAGGTTTGGCTTTGCAATCGGATATAACGGCCCACAAGTACGCCGGTTTACCGCAAACGCACGTTCGGCACTCCATGATCCACAGGTCATCACCGCAATGATCATAAAGGAGGTGCAAGCCGATCACGCAAGGGGTCCTTTTAAAGTGCAGCCACATCCGAATTTTGTTGTGAATCCACTTGGGCTGCGCCCAAAGCGACCGTCAGGCCATCGAGTGATTATGGATTTGTCGCAACCATTCGGACTGAGCGTGAATGATTTTATTCCAAAAGATAAGTATTCGCTAACTTACGTAGGCGTAGATGATGCAGTTAAAATGGTGATGTTCCATGGGCGGGGATCGTTAATGGCAAAAGTAGACATTGAGAACGCATTTCGTAATTTACCAGTCAGGCAGAGCGATTGGCATTTGCTGGGATACGAATGGGAAGGGCAGTTTTACCACGATGTAGTAGTCCCGTTCGGTTTACGTTCAGGCCCGTATTTGTTCGACACCTTTGCCCGCATGCTCGAGTGGATATTCAAAAAGTGTACCGGAAGTGATACGTTTCTACATTTTTTGGACGATTTTTTCATGTGCGATAAAGCAGCAAGTTCGGCATGTGGGCGGTTAGTAATGCAGGTTCAGTCAGTGTGTAAGTATTTGGGTGTTCCGATCAATGAGAAAAAGTTGGTGGGTCCGGCTACGGTAATTGAATTTCTCGGTATAGAGATCAACAGTGAAACCTTTACCTTATCTGTATCGGCCGCTCGTTTAACAGAATTAACAGAGTTACTCGAAAGCTTTTCCACAAGTACGCAATGCACAAAACGGGAACTCTTGAGCTTAATTGGTAAGCTGTCATTTGTGACGAAATGTATACCGGCCAGTCGAATATTTCTGAGACGCATGATCCAGCTGAGCTGCAAGGTGAATCGGCTGTATCACAGAATTACACTGACGGACGGATTCCGTCGTGATGTTGCGTGGTGGAGAGAGTTCTTACCGGCATGGAACGGGACGGCCGGCTTTGTACAACCAGAATGGTTACCGGCGAGCGTATTTCATCTGTACACTGACGCGGCAGGCGCGATAGGTTTTGGAGGCACGCTGGGTAATGAGTGGTTCCAGGGCGCGTGGCCGGGTTGGCTGTTAAAAGTAAACCCACCGATAACGTTTCTGGAAATGTACCCAATCTATGTAGCGTGCGTTATCTGGAATGAACAGCTGTACGGAAAACGAGTGCTTTTTCATTGCGATAATACAGCGACAGCTCATACATGGTCATCTGGCAGTTGTAGGAACCCAGCAGTGATGGAGCTCATACGCAGAATTCACTTTGTTACGGCGCGGTTTAATTTTATTATCAGAATTACGCACATCGCTGGCGTTGATAATAGCATTGCTGATGCATTGTCTCGATTCCAGTTGCAACGTTTTCGTCAGCTCCATCCTTCAGCGAACGCCGACGGTATGTCGGTACCGGATCTGCTTACACGGCTGAAACCATTCCTCACCGGAAAGGAGCCTGCCATAACAACCTCGACGCCGGCGCCCTTTTCGCCGCCGGAGTGGCTACTTCTACCCGAAGAGTTTACGCAAATGGAGAGCGAAGTTTCGAGCAGTTTTGCAGATCAGTAGTGAAACAACCATGGCCCGCCACTCCGGAAACTGTCGAAGATTATGTGGCATACTTGTTCAACCGGAAGTCGTCATCGTCAACTATAAATGTGTATGTAGCCGCTGTCGCCAGACGTCACATATCGCAGAAATTGGCCGATCCGACAGCCAACCCCAGACTGAAGCAGATTGTGGCAGGCGCCCGCCGACTGACTGGAACGCAACCGGATCAACGACTTCCGGTCACTTCTCAGTTACTGGGACGCCTTCCAAGCCGATTACATCTAACCTTCCCCACACAATACGACCAACAGATGATTTGGGCCGCTTTTACGATGGCTCATCATTTCCTGCTGCGAGTGTCGGAACTGACATCGCCATCACCGACAACGTTTGAGATGTCTGCCACCCTCCTGCTCCAGGACGTGCGATGGAACGACTCTATGCTGCAGCTTTCCATCAAGCAGTCTAAAACAGACCAGCACAGGAAGGGAGCTACGCTGTCTTTGACAGCTAGCGAAGCTCCAATCATCTACAACGCCTGTGTCACCTATGCCCAGCAGCGTCAGAATCGACAGCCTTCTGATTTGCCATTTTTTATCCATAGCAGCGGCCGCTTCCTCACGCGGATTGACCTTACACGGGCACTGAAGACGACCCTTCCTGATGGGGAGGACCGCGCCCGCTATTCATCCCATTCTTTTCGAATTGGCGGCGCCACTTCGGCAGCCGCCGATGGCCTATCAGCTGACGCCATATGTGAACGAGGACGGTGGAAATCGTCCTCGTTTAAGCGTTACATCCGCCCGCAACGTCTGCGCGTACCATTCTTGTTTGGGGCTCCCCTCACTCGCGCCGCTCTCTCGCTATGGTACGCACAGAACCGCACCGGAAGGCAGCCGCAACATCCTGGCCACGTATCAGGATCCAGCTCACTCCCTGGCCACGAATCAGGGTATCACCTGGCCACGAATCAGGTGCCTTCGACCCCTGGCCACGAATCAGGGGTCACCTGGCCACGGACCAGGTGGCACTGCTCGCTATTTCACGTATACGCTCCTTCCGGTGGCCGAGCATGTTCTGACGTTTTCCACGAGACTCCGCGGCCGAGCCGAGGCTGGCCATATGCCCCAAAAACCCATGTCGGCGTTTCTTGAATACATCGTTAAAGTGCGCTGACAAGTATGATTTACCGTTGCTGGCAGCGATGTGTACCGACTTTGTCATGGACACGCTCAACGCCAACAACTGCCTGCTTGTTCTGGAAAACGCACTGAATGGAGGTCTTCTTGGGGTTATGCTACAACTGAGGTGTTTCTCGTTTCCTGGGAAATGTGTTGCCTAGGCGTTTCACTATGCAGCCGCAGCGCCAAGTATCCTGGAGAAGTGTTTGTGTCTGATTGACGAATCAACGAAAACCGTCTTGGAATCGGCGCAGCTCGATGGGATTGGACTAGAGGAGCTGTGTACCATTCTCCAACGGGATACACTGACTGCCAACGAAGACACCATCTGTTCGTCTGTGGATAAGTAAGAAAATTTTGTTGTTCTCTTCTACCTGTGCACATCTGCAGCTCGTTGTAACTGTCTTTTATTGGCTCGTTTTTTGGCAGGTGGGCTGCAAACTTCTGCACGCAAAGAAACATCAAGCGTCCGCCGCCAATCGGCGTCGCAGTCGTGGTTTTCTCTGTGCTCCCAATCAGATGCAGTTTTCCACTGTGAGCACGTCTTCTAAAACTTGACGTATAGTATATTATACGTCGTAAAGACCAAACATGTACTGCTAAAGCATACGCGTTATTGTATGGTTGGTTTAGAGTGGATTGTTATCGCAATCGGAACTATTGGACATTTACCATTACAAGTACGCCGCCATCAAGCCGCCTTTGCCTTTCCATACGGAGCCCAGACAAAGTAAGCGCATGTCATGCGCTTATAAAAAGTTGTATGCATGCTGTGGAAATTGTTTGGTAACTGTACTGTATATATTGTATATCTGCAGATGTACGCGCTGAAGGTGTTATTAAATATACGATTCCGGATATCAGGGAGCTGCAGAAAGCTCGTACGTACAGCGATCCCATAACAATTAGAAAGCTACTGTGGTAAGACGGCCGCCGTAATGAAAAGAGATTAACACCAATTATTTGACAGCGTGGTCGAGAACCTGACGCCATTGAATAAACATGAATCGCTTTTTGCAGGAGTATCGCAGTTTCGAAAAAAACCAGAGACGAGTCGGCTAATCTGAGCTTCTACCTGCGGTGTTCGGGCTGTCCCCGGTGGGTTTCCTGGACGTGCCAGGTCCATGCAGAGCTGCGCCTGTTACCTTGGAAAACGGAAACTGCACCAGATAGTTTGCGTACGTGGTTATTGTGACGCCAGAAAAAAACACCGGATGTTGGCCAGGTTTTTGTACATTTTGTAGACATGTCCTCAGTGTTTGACAAGGATAATCGTTACTGGGGATGCTCGGAGTATATCTCTATGGAAGTGAGGGTTTCTTATGGTTCCGTGGGTGAAAGGGCCAGATCATTGTTTACGCGTTCGTTCAAGTGTATTTTGTATTTCCAGGAATTACTGGATCCGGCGAAAGGCTACGTCAACCCTGCCGACTTCTCCTTGAGATTAGAAATTCAAGTGACTGCTGGTCTTCCGGTTGGAACCGAATGAATACATTTCGAAATGTGGGTTTATATGTGGAAAATGTGGCACGAGTAAACGATGAAGTGACAAGATGGTCTTCCGAATTGTTCAAATTTCCTCTTGGATTCTGGGTGATCAGTGAGACAGCGAATTTGGATGTACAGTTATGACTATGAGGAACAGCGACTAGCGTGAATACAGTAATAATAAACATGTCTACGGAAAGTCCTCAGTTTATCCTGAAATGGCCTAACTGTTTATGTTTTTAATAACAATTCCTGTTGCTGGATTTTTCGTCAGTTGGGTTCGAATGAGTTTATTAGCTGATTAGGAAGGATGTTTGAAAGTTGTAATAACATATTCTTGAGTTTTCTATTATATTTTTATGTCGATACAGTACCGTCTTCAAGTGTGCGCCGGATTGTGAATTTTCAGCAGTTAAGCTATCCGTTTTGTCAATCGAGTAAAACTGTAAAAGCAAGATCGAATTTTATAGTCAGTAAACCGAAGCATTCTCTACGGAAAAACGGTAACAATGGCAATGATTAAAATAATGGGTAACGTAACGTCTTCGTCCACTTAAGCAGTGCATGTACTCGTAAAATTCGGTTCGTCACCGCACCGGCACAGTTCATACTCAATGGTGAATGGCGCTCATCCGCAAGTATTGTACGGCTGCAAAATGTTGGCTCCCGGAGGCTGCACGAGCTTCTAAATGCGGTTGTACTTGTATGTACGCGGAAATTTCTGAAAAACCACTGACAGATTGTTTCATGTGTAGTTCAGGAAAACAGTTTCAGTTGTACTAAACACAATAGATTATCGGGCACTGTACTATAGTGATGTTAGCTTTATTCGTTGGTTACATATGGTCGTCACATACAGTACGAATCGCAAGCACACATTTGGAAATTGATCCGATAATTTATAACGTATCCATAATTATTATTCTTACTAAACTGTACATGCAAAAATCGTCGCAGCGTTTGACAAGGAGTACACTTTTAGCTGCTTCTTCGTCTCATGTCCAAAGTGCATAACCGTACGCTGCATAGAAACTATGCTAGCATTACGGACATACCGCAGCCATTACACTGTGTGCTTGGCTACCCACTGTCGCCATTTTGTTTTTCACTCGGGCATCATCGACATATGATCTCTTTTCCGTGCCTTCGTGTCGGCGAAAGTGCAACATAACTCCATCCCGAATAGGATCAGCTACTTGCGCGTGCGTCTCCTCCAGGACATAATGCGGAAAGTGTATGCCAGCCGTCAGGATATTCGCACCGCGACAGACATACTTGGAGCGCTCCTGTTCCGGCAGCACACTGATTTCTCTCCGCACATTATCCGTATATAAAACGCTGTGCGAGATGCAATCAACCGCCGCGTTTCCGATTGAAACCTGGTGCATAAACGCACTGCGGATAATTATACAATCGACAATTCCAAATCGGAGAAGACTCGAAAGGTCACCGTCTCCACTTATACCGACAAATTCATCGAGATCAGCTACAAATTTTCAAAGGTCACTATTACAGAAATTTTTAGAAAACGTAATAGAAAAGATATTACATTGAATGAACATTTTATGTGTTTGAAACCACATTGCTCTACTTCATAACACGGATAATATTCTTATCAAGAATGTGTCGCAAACTGTGAGATTAAAGTAAAGAATAAAGGCTATTTGTTAGAAATTATATTGCCAATATAATAAACACTCATAATGTGTCATCTACTTGTGAACTATGACCATTGTCTTACTAGCTGATCTATGAGTGTACGGTGCACCCAGGTCACCAATCCCCTTGTTTATCAGATGTTTAGGTGCAGTAACTTACTAATATCATGAATGTACCGTGTGCTATATAAGCAACCAGCTTGTATAACATTGTTGAACAGAACAACAAGAGAACTGACACCAGTGTGTGTGACGCTTCCGGTTTCTGTTCCCGTGACTATAATAATCTCATAATATAAATTCTAACACTATTATTACGCAAATCTTATTTTACAAAGCATAAAAAACATTATACCGTATTCTGAACATACTAACATTATATTCTACAGGCATTGTCTATATTTGAACATTATGCTTTACTTCTACAAATTTGGAAAAGATAATGCTTAATGTTCATTATCATTTCTTTTTTCTTACCAAAAAGTGTGTAATCCCAGTGTCCTTTAGTCCGCTCCGTGCAGTCATTGACCGCCGACAGTTGTCCAAAATAGTTAACGGAATCACTGGACACTGTCAGTTCCCAGGGAAGAATCGTCATTAGATGTGTATTCGCTGACGTATAGTGCTTTAAAATCTTTAATGTCATTTCGCTGGCTCGGTTGTTGTAGAAGACAAAATGTCGTATTCCAATGTGCGTATAGTACTCAATAAACTCCACCAGGAGCTTCGGTGAAACGTTGCCCCACAGAATAGGTCCACAAAGCGCAAACGATAATCGCTTTGTTTTACGGTTGTGCTCTTTCGGCAACTGGTAGCTTAATTTTCCACAGGAATTCCTATTCTGACAAACCAATTCCACGGCGTCGATGGACCACGCAGCGGGAGCTCGACACACTAACCGCACACTACGAAACCGCTCCCTGTTGTTATCGTACCGCGTATTCTGCACTCGAACAGTCGATCTGAAGAACGTCTTGAATCTGCATTCGCACGATGTCTCGTTGACGAATGCGTCATTGTTCACATCCACAAGCGCAATAAAATGAAAGTATTTCCCTTTAAAATGCGCGGAATATACATGAATAGTATCTAAAATCTGCGTCCATGATGGAGATTCATAAGGCAGGGGCAATGTTTCCGATACGTTGCACGAGGAAACGTTGCGGTTTAATTCGAAGAAAGTAGTGTTGTATCCGTTCTTAAATTCCCGCATCGTAGCCCGTGTATAACTACGCCTGTATATCGCTTTTGGAGCAGTTTCTGGGCGCTCTTCAAACTCCGTGTAATCATTTTGTGGAGTGTTACTAACGGATCGAAGAACGAGAAATGAACAGCTAATGGATAAGAGTAGAGGAATTCTGGAACTTCTAACACAACGTAAAAGCTTTCTCCTCATAGTTATGGAAAATGCGGTTATTAACACAGTAAATGTGGCGGCTGTGCAAAATGTTGACTCAGCATCATTTTTTATGAGCACTCTTCAAACAGACACATAACGCAAAATATGAAACGCATGCGAAGTACAAACATAATATAAAATCAGTGAAATCGCTGCGCTGCGACAATTCAGGTGTGCTCGGTGTGCTTCTCAGCGGTGAACGCCCTTTGTCCAAAGTGAAATCGAAAGAGGGAAAGCCGGTTCATTGTTATGTAGGTATAGTGAGTATTGCCTGCAGTTAAACACCTTGCAACTTTCATATACCTGCTAAGTTTTGGATTGGAATCACCACATATCAAGCCGGTTAGCGTTGCAGTCAACGCTTTTTAATCAGTCGCTTCCGTGTCGTTGAAGTATGTTGTGCTTTGACTAAAGGGTTCGACACAAATCCATGTGTAAGCGCGCAGCAGTACGATGGTGGTTGTGCTTTGCTATCGCCGCTTTTATCATCTTTCGACTCTTTATCTACTCCGCGATTAATCGGCGCACACCGCGAGACAGCAGTTTTATTGCCGATCAGAATAATTCCGTAAGAAAACACTGCGGTAAGCGCTTCGGAGGAATAACATCGTGTTTCTTTAAGCAGCTCGCGATGGCTAACGAAACCAGCGCAACGAACGATTTTTGGGCTACCAAAGAATCCGATTGGTTCCCGCCTTTACCGGACGGTGTGGCCGAGAAAGCTAAAGCTATCCGGATTGTCGAAGGAACCCAGGATGTGACGCTCAACAATCCCAACGAGAGCCTCGAAGTAACTGCAAAATCAATTCTAAAAAAGCGGGAATATACGAGATATACGAGTGAAACGTAGGATTCAAGAAAGCAGCTTCTTAGTTTTAACAAGTATTTAAACAAACGCTTCTCTGTTCGAACCCCGTGCTAAAATTTAAACGCATTAGACATTTTTCTGTTGGGTGATTTCATTCTCAAATTTTTTGAACCGTGGGACCGACGGGCCAATTTTTACTTTTTTGTCCTACGTTGTAATCTTGATGATTCTAGGAACGCGAAGTGTTCTTTCGCCACTGCGACCCGGAGAACCCCGGCCACACGGCACTGCACATTCTGCTGTTGCACGGCGCCAGTTTCTCATCAGAAACCTGGCAGAATTTAGGGACGCTCCAGTTATTAGCGGCGCTGGAATACAGCGCCACGGCAATTGATCTGCCGGGGTTCGGGAAGACTCGCGGGAAACCGCTGACCGGCGTGGCGGCCGCAGCATTGGTGTACCGGTTTGCCTTGACGCGTGGGATGCTCAAAAAGACCCTGGTGATTATTGCACCGTCCATGTCGGGCGGGTACGCGGTACCCTATCTCATGAACAACCCGTTCCGCCAACCGAATTCCGAGGATCTGGCTATGGTGTTCGTGTCGCCGGTGGGCACGGAGAACTATCCGGATGAGGAGTATAAAGCCATCCAGGTAAGTGCATCGTAATTTGCAAATTTGTCCGCTTACGATCGTCTAATAAAATTGCAACAATTATACGATGATAATCCGAAAGTTTAATTGGAACTATTACATATACAGCATACAGAGTATATGGAACTATCATACGTACAGCATAAAGCGCGCGCGGCTAGACCTCTTGTCTCTTTCGAATCAGGGTGTTTTGCGTACTTAATCTGTTTTGCACCGAATTTTTTCTAAACCCTACTCCCATCAGGAAAACTCTTTTTGTATGTTAACTCTTCGAAGTAGAATACAAGTAGCGTTGCTGCAACTGAAGTAAATCGTAGCATATAAATACACTGTCTTGTCAACACTAGAAAAGGTACTAGCTAATTCCAGACTTCCAGTTAGACATTAGTATAGGTACAACTTTCCCATTAATATTATTTTATTGAACAGGTGCCGGTACTAAACGTATACGGATCGCGCGATGAAGCTTGGGGACAACGTGTCGCTCAGAAGTTCAATCTTTCCCGGCATGCAAAAAGCGTGGAACTCCCGGATGCCGGTCATGCGGCCTATATGAACCAGCCCGATCTCTGGCACCGCCTTCTCAACGTCTTCCTGCGAAAGGTGAAGGTGTGGTATGGTGCACAGCATGCCATTAATCGGGAGCATAACCAGAGCCCAACTTAGTCCAGAAAACATCTGCACGGCTAACAATATATTATAGTGACGTTGTATAATCTGTTGATTGATATTATTATTCTACAAAAATAATAAATGTTATTAATAAATGTTTACCATTTTAATTTGTTGTGTATTAACAAAGATTGACTGAGCGAAAGGATGATTAAATGAATTTACAATCAGAGTTTATTAACATACTCAGTTAAAAGCAATTAACACGACTCAGTTAAAAGCAATTTTATTTTATTATATTCATTGCAAAGAAAGCAGGATATAATTATATTCCCGCTTCGGGACTCAGCAGAAGTAAAGATGGAGAAAAGAATAAATCAGTAAGTTTTTTAATCAGTTTAGATAGACCAGATCTGTAAACATCAATATACGCTTCGTGCACGAGTTTGTTTTGTATTCTGCAACTTCATGAATATAGTTTTGCAAACGCGGCTGATTATTAGTATTTTTATTCGAACGATTTTAGTGTTTATCAGATTTTTTTACATGGCAGTATGAATTCATTTTAAGCGCTTTTTTTCTAATTCTGAGATGCAGACATCCGAGATCCGATGTGAACTGTTGTACATGTACGTATCTGTACACAGCACATAGCGAAGCACCGAGAAAGCAAAAACGGCTCAATTACACATTTGCAAGAATATTACATAACTTACGGTTTTTTACATAAACAATGATAAGCATTTTTATTAACCGCAGCACACCAATTTATGCGGTAATAACTCATAGTCCACTCATCTCGTGTGTAATTTGTAGATTTTGTACTAACTGGCGCGCATGCAGACTGCCACCGCGCGACGCATAATGTAACCAAAACTCACTGTGGTTTCGTAATAACCCACACCGCATTGTTCAGCCGTAGAAAAACTACCGTGTACTTTGTATTGCGGAGCGCGATTGTCCGCCAAAATTCCTCATGTAATTACAAATAGAGTCGGTGTACAATAAACTGCAAATAACTTCATTAGACATTCTCCAATGTGCGCTGCTTTTTAATTAACCCGCGTCGCGTAATCGGACGCATCCAGCGCCAAATCGTCGCTGACCTTATATGCACCGGCAGATAGAGGTGCATTTAGCCACCGGCGACTTCGTTTTCCTCCAGTCACTTTCACTCGACCTACATTTTATCTTCTACCATTGTTGGCGCGGAGTGGATTAAATATACGAATGCGTGCTCCAGATTGTGGAGTACGGGATTGTTTTATTCGCTGTCTTGTTGTTGATTGAATGTACAAAGTACATACATATATGACATATTGTGGAATACTCACATGCACAGGCGTACGGTTGTGTTTTGGTACGGCTTGGATTTCACGACAAAGTTGGCAGTGATATAAGGTAAATGTTGCCGGTATCGTTTCGCAGTAAAATAAATATTATAAAGAGCGTGAATATGCTTTTCTAATAAGAATCTAGCATTTTCGCGTTGGAAAATAAAACATGGATGCGTAATTGCGTTTCAACGGGCACATGCGATATGCACGTACCCGGAAAGAATGTTCACCGCAATTATGCAACATTGACAAATAAATTTACCGGCATAATTCGCGAAGCAAGTTTAGCTGTAATGCAGTGTAAAAATTAGGGTACTGTTATCATTTGGGAGTCTTCCTTACTTCTTTGCTTTGATTTAATTCTGTCTAAAGCCTGCGAACAGTGTCCGTTTGAATAAAAATTCTGATGCAATTTTTTGCTTAAACGCTCAATTAGAATATTTGATACAGGGCACAAATTAATCACTCGTATACAGTCTTGTTTTGCGTGCGTTTTTGAATACAATGTATAAATATTAACAAATACCTAAATTAACGCCGGAAATACTAAAATGTTAGAAAAAACGAATTTTAAATGTTGAAGTTTACAGCAATTTGCACGTCAGTGGCTCGTATAATTTAAGTCAATTTATCATATCTTGAGGTTAATGTGGCTGTTTTTCAAATGGGCTGAATCATTGTATGTATTACCTGCAAAATTAACGTCAGTTATTTATTTCGTCATGCACGTGTTCTTGTCATTAGTAAATGTAATCGTTGAAATTGACTATCCGATTATTCGGGAAGTATTGACAATCTTCCATTACGAGTATTTCTGGAAATTCCCGGAAAATCTTTACTGAGACAGCTGAGTGATATTTGTGACGATATGCTGTCTCGTCTTATAGGACAGTAATATACCGCCGCAAGCGACCATATTCCAGCCCAGGAAAACCCGGCATCTTAGAGCATCTTAAACAATCATCCACTTTCACTTCCGATTATCCCATTTTGCTGCTGCCGCGATCTGTGGTACATCATGTAAGAGAGCAACAAGGACGATTATCAACGTGACCACAATGCTAACACGCCGGCGTGTGTGTCAACATGTTGATTGCGCTTCCTTCACCGCCCACCCAAGACGCAGCAGCAGCGGCATAACACACGTTCCGGAATGCCAATTTTTATTGCCTAAATCCTTTTAACCGAACCATCGTCATATCGCTAGTATAAAATAACCCTGTTCCGCCTCAGAAACGCCACCACTTACTCCATCCCCGTTTAAATTTTCGACCACCGGAAGTGCTTTCTATATACAGCACGATCGGATTTTGCTTATCATCGTTTTTTCCGTAATTTTGTAATTTTTTTTAAAAACATTTGTAAAAATAGTAATCTCATAAGTAAGCCGGCAATATTTACCATGGATAGTATATGAAATTAATTGTATCGTTAGCTAAATTGTCTTATGTTAGCCGCCTTCGTCGGGGATGATGAATGTACAGATATCAGAAAGGGCACGCGTCTGGACAGTCATAACATTGTGTTTGTTGGGTTATTTTATGCCGTCTTGCTCGGCCAGTTATGTCAACGAATGGCTGCTGGAAGTGCCGGGTGGGCCGAATATGGCCAAGGATGTCGGTGATCAGTATGGATTTCAGCTTGTTAAACAGGTGCTGTAAATACCAATAAGCTTTATCAACTGAAAACTATACGGTAAATTATACGAAATTTCCTTATAATATAATTACGAATAAATTAATAAACATAAATCTAGAGCGATCAGCAATTAACTACACATAGTCTATGAATAGTAAATAATATACTACTTAAAAATAGAAAAATATTTACGTAGTAAAATCGTTGTAAAAAAATAACTGTTTATGCAGATTACCAGATGCATTGATTAACGATAAAAATTCTCGATGCAGTTTTCAGATGGCTTTCCTAACATTTATGTCTTTCGGAAAAAGCATTGGCCGGCCCGCCGGAAGCGCGGAGTGGATGGGAACGTTACGAAATCTTTAACGACTGATCGGCGGGTATTGTTATAAACTTATGAGGATTTTCGTTCTGTTGCACCTAGAAACGGTTGTCAGCAATTCCGCATATATCAATATCAGTAACCGTCAATTTATCGTTAATATGAGTATGTATTAGTTTTACACCGTACGGTACGTATGCATGCGAGCTTCCTGGTCCACAGTGAATACTGTAGTCTGCTTTTAATATTATTAAACAAAAATAAACGAAATAAAATTGTGTATGTAGCAAAAATCAGCGCTAAAATTATAATTTTACAAATCCAAATTTTTTTCTGCAGTTTATGATTTTCCTATTTACTGATTCTGTCGGCACTTCGATGGGCTTTGCGAAGACTGCTTTTGTGCCCTCACACTACAATATTCAGTTCGTAGTATTCGTACATGTATCTGTACACATTTGTATTTATTTGTGTTACCTTATTATTGTTTCCCAGTCCAGTTGAAAATCACTTTGAAACGCTGGTTATAAACGTATGCTGCTCATTGCAAAACTTGCTAACTTGCACAATAATTATATTATACTGACAGCGCTGATTTTTTCTAAATAATCCGGTGATGTATGCGGAATGAAATTTAGCGGGAATCACTTATGCGATGTAGATACGTTGGGTCGAGCAGCAATCAGCGAAAGTGCGCACGAAACGTGACTTCATTCACCGTGAAGCTGGCGAAGTGGACGTGAGTGGAACATCCAATGTGCTGCTGCATCAGGACCTCCTGGAAGCCGGCAGCAGTGCCGGAACCGGACGCCTGCCGGCTAACAAGCAATCACATGCGCAATCCGACACATCGCTCTTCAATGATCCCATGTGGTCACACCAGTGGTACATGGTAAGTATCCATTTTCTTGCATTAATGCTTTCGATAATTAAGTTATACCCCGTCCCTGATTTCTGTAGTTATTTGCGTGTGAAAGATTCTACTCGTAATAACCTGATAATTTATTTCATAATAAAACGTAATTGATCAATAACCGTTAAAAATGTTTGCTGCATGGATGGGAAAAAAGTGATCCCTTCTGTCTGTTCCGGCAGTTTTCGGTTTACGAGGAAAGCCGCTGTTAACTGTTTTCTATTGTACTCGTATACTCGAATATCTTCTGAACCAAAAATAATTTACAAGTTTTGATTTAAATTTTTTGATTTTGAAGCATAGCGTAATACCTTTTCCAATCTATTTTTCTTATTTAATTTACAGTATGTCCTAATTATTACAAGTTATTAATCACTAAATAACTGGTTATTACAATATCTATGTTTAGTTAGACGAACTGGTACCCAGCGGGCGTGCCATGCGCTCCATGATCCCCTCGGACCCCAAAATCAGCAGTCTCAACGTCTTCCCGGCATGGCAGTCGGGATACACCGGTCAGGACATTGTAGTAACCATTCTGGACGATGGTAATTATATTTATCCCGGCGAACGCGTATTTCTTGTTGCCGCGACAATTTGCTTAACAGCTCTCAACACTTTCCTGTATAGGAGTGGAAACCAATCACACCGATCTGATATCGAATTATGTATGTACTATGTGCGGTACAATTACTGTACTTTTGCAAAAAGCTGCCGATTGGTGCTGCATGAGATTACGAATTTACAAATATCGCAATAGTGGATATTCAAGTTTCCGCTCTGTCTTACTCGTGACTTGTACGCTCTGTCTTACTCGTGAACAAATCTCCGTTGATGTATTGTATACTTACTGGTTGTATTAAAATCTGGTAGGATCCAGATGCAAGCACAGATATCAACGGCAATGACCGGGATCCATCGCCGCGCTACGACAATCCCGAGGACACCCATCACGGAACGCGGTACGTAGAAAGGTCACCTTCATAAATCCGTGGTATCTACAGACTCTACAGCAACATTTATAAACGAGAATCTTATTTTGCTTAAAACTGACGACTGTCATTGCAACCTGGCCAAATGCAATTAGTATGCATAGTTTAGCATAATTTGTATTTTTATGCTAAGAACATGGGGTTTGAAGTTAAGGTGGAGCAACCGGTCGATGTGTTTAGATGTGCGGGAGAAGTGGCCATGCAGGCTAACAACAACATTTGCGGCGTGGGCATCGCCTACAACGCCCGCATCGGCGGTATCCGGATGTTGGACGGCATTGTCACCGACCGGGTGGAGGGCGAGGCGTTCTCCTTCAACAACAACTACATCCACATTTACAGCTCATCCTGGGGACCGAGCGATGACGGGAAGACCGTGGAGGGACCGGGTCTGATGGCGTCTAGGGCCTTCGAAAAAGGTGTCACCGAGGTGAAAACGATAGCAGAATCCAGCCATTTGTATTTTAAATTCTACGGGTAGAAGAGAGGTACGCGTACGTTATAGACTGTCATTCGTAAATATAACAACCATATTAAACCAATGCATTTTTCCGTGCGCGGTGCTTAGCGTTTACTCTGCGCGTACTACCCATTCTGCAGCGGATCATTTACAGAAATCAATAATTATTATTGGTACAACTCTCACATTATTTTATTTTGTCGCATATAAGTACTTTCCCAATTAGATTTGGGTCGCTTACAAGCAAGGAAAGCGATGACGGTTTGAACTAGGAACTAAAAGCAAAACAGTAAGGTACATCTTTCGTATGCAGCGGCGTTGACTTGAGAGTCGAGAAAGATTTAAAGTTGGTGTAGTACGGTGCCTACAAGCATACACCCAGACGCACATTGGTTTGGCTGCTCATTCACACTACATGATTGTATTGAATGCATAACGTCGCAAGACATTAGTGATTAAAAAAGTAGTCTGTATTTATAAGAAATTTTTTTCTTTTTAAGATCGATGAAATATTACAATTGTTATATCTTTAATTAAAGTGTCGAATTTACGGTGTACATTCATACCGATTAATTACAGCTGTTCCCGAAATTGTCATATCTATATATTATTTCAGCTAAAATTAACTGTATCTGAAATTAGAATAAATTGCTTGCAAAAACTAATTAGGGTCGCCAAGGAAAGGGAGTTCTGTATATTTGGGCGTCCGGCAACGGAGGAATTAACGGCGATAGTTGCGCGTACGACGGGTACGCCTCTAATATCTTCACCCTCAGCGTCGGCAGCACCACGGAACGGGGACATTTTCCTATCTACGGGGAGATCTGTGCGTCCACCATGGCCGTAACATATTCCAGTGGATCGCTCAAAGAGGGCAAAATTGTGAGTATATTATGCATGTATACTCGTATTAACGATAACATAAATGTGATATATACCTGCGTAATATATATCTACAAGAAACAGCCTCGGCTTCGCCTCCGCGTTTCTTGGGTTCTAAACTCCTAGGCCGGTTTGCGGATTGTTAACTTAGAACGGATAAATCCGAAGAGCCCGATAACAAAAATTTTATAAAAAAATGGATGTTCTGGTTTCGTGCAGTCGAACGCAGTTACTTTGACTTTACAGATCATTTTTGTTAAATTTTCGTAGCGAAAAACCATCCGAATTAATCACCCACGATAGTACTACATTAAAAACCAAAAAGGACGCTAAGACTGGACAATGGTGCTAGATAGGTCACCCACTAAGAACTTAGCGGGCCTTGTTCTATTTTGCTCAGTAATATTGCATTTTGGTCATACGTCACTTAACGGGCTCTGTGCACTGGATAGCATTGGTAGCTCGGTCACCCATCTACCTAACGGGATCTATGCACTGGACAGTAGTGGTAACTCGGTCACTAGATCACTTAACGGAGTTCGTGCACTGGACAGTAGTGGTAGCTCGGTCACGCGTTCACCTAACGGGCTCTGTGCACTGGACAGTAGTGGTAGCTCGGTCACCTACTCACTAGCGATTTTTTGACGCACTCAATCACTAGGTGAGTGACTGACCGAGCTCCACCTGTCCAGTAAGAAAAATCGCTAGGTGAGGAAGTGACCCTGCTACAACTACTGTCCAGTGCACAGAGCCTGTTAGGTGAGCAAGAGCAAAGCCCGCTCAGTGACTCACTCACCTAGAAATTCCGCTCAGTGGGCAGTTATGGTGTTTCGGTCACTCACTTGTTTAGTGATTTTTCTTACTGGTCAGTGGTAGTAGCTCGGTCACCCGCTCATCTAGAGATTCCGCTCAGTGGTCGGTGATAGTGTTTCGGTCACTCACTCGTCCAGTGATTTTTCGTATTGATTTTATATTTGATATTTTTACATTTTATATCGGTTGATTTTAAACGTGTTTCGAGCTCGGCAACACCGGCAGCAGTGTTTGAATAACGCGAGTGTTTGAATAAGCACAATAATTTATTTATTTTTCGGTTTAATTAGTGTAATAATTATGTCAATTGGTATTTTGTATTGTATCTAGGCAAATTTTTTCTATGTCCCAAGATCACCTTGAAAGTGGGTTGGATCGCTTGCGGCGTCGTGCCGGCACGATTCTGGTCGAACGAATTTAAAAACGAACATCATGTGAGCCAGTTCTGGACCGAGGCCAATCAACTGGCGTTTTCAGTTTTTAAAAAAAAATCGATTTGATTATTAAGATCTGGAAACTATGGGGCGCCGCGCGTAGTATAGATCTTCTACTTAATAAGCGTTTTCTAAGCAACTATTTCTAAGTTTCAAGGTGACCTTTAAGATGGGTTGGATCAATCTGGTCTTGATGCCGGCTCGATATTGTCATAAAAAAAACACATGCCGGCCACTTCTGAACTATCCCGGATCTAATGGCGTTGTCCGTTTTTCCAGAAGTTTTATGGTTATAGAGATCTCAAAACTATGGGGCGCCGCGCGTAGTATAGATCCTGTACAGTTGTACTTAACATTTGTATTTCTACAATTGTCGACTTCCGCGCATGTACGTTTTACCTGCTGGCGCTCAACATCGGACAATTCCGTTATATGCAGCATTACAAATCTCAAGAAACTTACTCATAATTAGTCGTACAATAAAGCGAAAAAGGATCCTATAATTATTCGCTTTATTACATGCTTCAAGATTTGTAAAAGTAAAACAACAATTACATGTGATGCAAATATATTATTATTTATTACATGTTCCAGGATTGCCGTTTCTGGAAATGGCATTCATAAATTTGGATGGATTCGTTTTTTCTCAATCGAATATTTTTTACATTAACGCTTCTTCAATCATCACATGAAAAAATGAAGTCGTTCTAAAATAATTTTGACGTTGGGTTCTCCTACCGGTATCACGTATGTATGCAAAAGCTATGACATTGCTTTTAACGAGGAAACTGGTTTATTCGCCAGTATCGCCCATTCACTACGAAATCTGTCACACTGGTCTCCAGGTTTTGTATTAGAAGAATACGATTTATTTATTTTACTGCTGGGTTCACGTTTTACTTTTCCAGTTATTTTCCTTGCTTATACACCTATTCTGTAACGGATCGGCTCAGTATTACAAAATACAATATACTGTACCTAATTAAAGTTGTGATTAATTACTGAATAATCGCCACTGTATAAATTTTGCAGATTAGCACGGATATTCTGAACAGCTGCACAACCGAACACACCGGCACATCCGCCTCCGCACCATTAGCCGCCGGCATGATCGCCTTGGCACTGGAAGCGAAGTCAGTGCAAAAAGCATGATCCGTCCGCTAATAAAAATGGCAAAAAAATTAAAGTGATTTTCTTGATCGCTGTGTGTAGTCCCAGTCTGACGTGGAGGGACATGAAGCATATTGTGGCGTGGAGTGCCGATCCTTTTCCGCTGCTGAACAATCCCGGCTGGAGCGTCAACGGCGCCGGATTGCTGGTCAGCCCGGCATTCGGCTTTGGTCTGATGGACGCCAATAAGTTGGTAAAAGCGGCCAAAGTCTGGCAGACAGCCCCGCCAAAGGTCAAATGCGTTGTACGGAAAGCTGGCGTGGAAGATCTGTAAGGGAACTATTTTCTATACTTGGAAACATTATTTTAATTCTGATATACGTTGAGTACGAATAATGTACGATTACAAAATATTATAAACGCTTAATTACAAAACATACGATTACGAAATAACTCCAGTATGATTACAAAATAACTATATATTAATTTTTATTTTTAGTGCGTTTACTCACAACCGCCCGTTGCGGGTACAGGTTCGAACGCAGGCGTGCCACGAGAGCGGCAACGAAATTAATTATCTGGAGCATGTGGAGACCGTTCTGTCGCTTTCCCATCCTAAGCGCGGTGCCGTGCGAATATTTCTGGAAAGCCCCATGGGTAAGTAATCATTTACATATTACGTAAATGAACCTCCGAAGTAGCATCCAGGATTGCATAAAAACTGTAGTAATATTTTACAGCTTCACTGTATTTTTATTCTCTGTTTTTTTCTCTCATAATAAAGATTCTTTTCGACTTTTATTCCATGTGGCAAATTTCCATTTCTAATACAAACACTATGTACTTAATGAACGAGTACTGGCGTTAAAACGAGAACATATTCACTGCGTAATAATTAATTATGCGCTCTACAATAAACTGCTTCGTTAACCACTATAGAAGCGGAGCAAAATTTGTAAATAATTCATATAATTATATGTTGAATCTTCGACTTTCTGTACAGGTACTCGCACATTAATCGCACCCCGCCGGGATGCCGACGTGGCGCCGGATGGTTTGAATGGATGGTCATTTGTGTCTGTCCACAACTGGGGAGAAAATCCACGCGGAATGTGGACAGTCATAATGGAAAGTCATGTCAGTGCAAACCGAGAATCAGCTCAATGTCGGCATAACATGTCAATCATTCGTGTATTAAATTATAATAGTTATGTAATCAGCAACGCTGGAAGGTTTATACCTATTTTTATTTTATGGAAGGTTTTCTGCCTTAGTGCCTTACCACAATTGACCGTATTAAATAATTTAAAAAGTGTAATATTGTAAATAGCTACTGTACTGTATGTGTGCAGCACTGTTCGTTGTTCATAGTTATCAAAAATAAATTTTTGTAATTATATAATGCATTTGTAATATGAATTTTGAAGCCGACACAGGGTAAATTTTAGGTTAAATAAAACCTCCAAAATAAAACGATGTGAACGAAATTTTTCTTAATTATACGATTTTATACGTTGTTTGTATAAGTAAACTTGTGTTATGAAAAACTAATTTCTGGCTGTACGGCAGTCGCATAATGCATATACGGTGATATACCTACCGCAAATACGAATTGTACTCTGTACAAGTACAATATATGCTGTATTAATCTGTTGAGGGTTATTACAATTTTTATCTGCAGTTATTGTATTATTGTAGGCGAATCAGAGCATCGGGTCGCTGCACTCATTGCGGCTAATCTTCCATGGAACAAAGCAGGAGCCGGCATCCACCCGCATTCTCCGCGACTGGCGCATCAAACAAGGCGCCGCTTTCCATCCGGATCTGAATCAGCCAGTGGCTCCGCCGGTGGTGGCGCTCATTTTCCCCACATCCACACAGGATTCGGCGGCAAAACCGGCAAATCTCACGGCCGCGCCCGGTTCATCCCATACATTTATCGACTGGTTGAAAAGCTGGGGCTGACCATTATCGCAATATTTTTATTTTTAAATACATATAAAAAAAGAACATTAATGGCGATTCTAAGGCTGTCATAACTACAGTAAATCGATGATTTCCATTAATACATACATAAAAAATTTAGCCGCCCGCGCTGCGGTTGGGCTTTACCGATGCGTTTTCAGCATAACTAAGTACTGCGAAGCGGAAAAGTGATCTCAAAATGCACTGAAGTTATTACAAGACGAAGTGTACTAACTTTTTGGCCGGTCTTCCTGTTCGTTGTTTGTATCGAGGTTCTATATTTTTGCTCGGTTTAATGCAGTGTGCGCGTTGACGATTAAAATGGCAGCGATTCAACCAAGTACTCTAGAAAGACACTAATAAATTCTTGGAAAACGATATTTTCAACATTTTGTAAGCATACGAGTACGTGAGTTAGGTTTAGTTTAAAACGAACGTACAAACACTTGCGCGTCTAACTACGTACTAAATTTTTGATATTGTACACGGTTACAATAATTGTGGTTGTGTTTGATACTTCGTTACGCCAGTAGTAAACAAACTCATCACGCTGACAATTGTTCGGAGCTGATCACAAATGTCCATGTTGCGTTCTTGCATTTATCGTACTGCTGGTACAGGAAAATGGCCGTCGACAGCGCCAAAATTTTCGCATAAAGGCAAACATAAAGAGCATGGAGTTCTCCACCAAAAATATTTTCCATTGTGATGATTTTTGATCTGACACAGATTTAAGCTGCAGTTGAGCAAGAGCTCTTGCAGTTTTCTTATCCCGGAATATGTTTGATCGGTCATTATTTTTTACCTAGAATAATTACCTTTAATCAGTATAGTTTGCTGTTGTTCCTCTCCCTTCGTTTATTAATGATTGACCGATATTTTCCTAGCAAAATTTGGACTGAACCGCGCACACTGCAGCAGCGTGCACACATCCTGATTGCTTTTTCCTCGCTGGTCTCCCCCCATTGTCAGCAGCCAACAAAAATAGGCCCAACCTGCCACTTATTACCCCGAAAAGATTATTTTCCCTTCCCTCTCTGTTTCTCCTTACGGATTTATCTTTCGAGAAAACTGCGCATGGAGAGACAATAGCCAGCGAGAGACAAACAAGTCCCCGATACCGAGAAAGCCTTCTCTCTCTCTCTGGTCTCTCTGTGGGCAGCTGCACACACACAGCGTACACACGGAACAGTCCACTATCGTTCTGCTGAGAATTATCCGGTTATGTCAGATGGCCATTGGTCGTGCTGCTGCAGATCCGCATGGACCGTGTATATTTAACACGCTGCAGCGGCGCCCAGCACATGGCATTTTCAACGCTCTGGCATTTTGCCGAGCTCTTCAGTTTTTTCTAGATTATTTTCAGTTTTATTTATCCGCTGACTCCATCTAAGCGGGGAATATCTTCCCGTCTGCAGGGACCTAGCATTGATCTGGTCACCGGGAAGCATATTCTTCTCCTAGATGGGTTAGCCGGTTGGATGGTTGGATTTATTTGGCCGCCATTTTGATTTTTGTGTGGAGGGGATCGCTGACGCCGATGTGGCCGTGGGACGTGTCGGATCATAGTCATGGTGCTGGTGGTTGTTGAACATGACTAGATCCTGACTCTCCCCACGGCTAATCGGATTATTCGACGGGATGTTGGACGTGGACGGCGAGTGCGGGGTTGAAACGGTGGATGTGGCTGCGGTGATAGATTGATTATATTCCGTTTTGGAATTAATCCTGTTATATCACCGGGTTGCATTTTATCGCTTAAACCTCCGTACACGACTTTATCCAATTTTGTCCTTGGATTTTTTATATTTTTTTTCTGAAAATATCTGTGCTTTCAAGTTACAACATTATTTGCTGCTTGCCAAATTAATTTTTAAATAAATTTTCTTGTGGCGCAAAGTTATAAGCGTAACTCTAGTTTCGTTTTCCGGATATGCAAAGTCAGCCTGACTGTTCAAATATGCATAACCGGAAAAGTAATTCGGCGTTCATTTTTAATGGTTTGAATATCGCTACAGGTTAAAAACTTGATTAAAATAATTTCAACGCGCATTATCCATTATTTATTAATAACTATGGCAATTTCGACGAACGTATTTATTGATTGATATGTTGCGATTGTTTTACATTTTTCTTATGAAGGAACATAGTGGAAAAAGGGAATTGGTCTTTGAAATTGAATTGATCAAATACTCCGAATTTTTGGTAATACTCTGTATGTACGTTAGAGAAATCTACCTACTTAGGAAAATTGCAACAAAAATGGTGTTGGTTCGAATTTCTACGAGTAGACGATGCACGATTTAAATTTTCACCATAGACCACGTAATTCTCGTTGTTTAAAAAAATCTTCCATTAGCTGCTGGAAATCAAGCGAAAAAATTTATATTTGAGTGCTTTACAGTTTCGACAGTTGCCCGATTTTAGTATGTGGACCGGAAGTCCCCGTCTGCAGATGCGGCACGTAGGGAAACAAAGCAAACAGGAGGCAAAATATGGTAACAGTGTGCAAACTGGATAGGCCGGAAGTAGTTCCCTGTAGACCGATCCGACTACAGCTCCGCCCCATACATCTAATCATTTCCATCAACCGTACACACTTCCGGCAGCAACGGTACTTAACCATGCGCTTTGCCAGCCTGCATCATACACGCACACTCACATTGCCGCTGCCACTGGATCCATTCCTTTTCCTTTCGTCAATTTTCCCCAGCCGACGGGATCCGACAATGTGACAATTATTATCCCCAATACATCTCTGTATATTCCTCTACCGTTATCTGTGTTAGTAATCCCTCAACCCGGCGCATATCATCTTTCACCTGCCCGCACCAAGCTGGCATCGCTGTATTGATTTCACGACCAGTCATTTCACTACTGTGTAGTTAACGTTAGCACAAGCAACACCGTGGATGCCATGATATTCCATTATGCTGGGCGCCTGCGCTCCATTATGCCATGATCCGCCGTATACTCAAGCGCCTCCTGTGCCTCCTATCCCCCCGAAAATGTTTCGTCCTCCTGGTGCTGAGCAGTGTGTGTCTGCTGGTGCTGATCATGTGGAATCAGAGCGTCATGGATGGTGGGGTGGCGCCGCGTGGCGAGGCTCTGCGGGGAAAGATCCTTGTTGAACCGTCCGCCGCGCGCAATGTCTCGTATGCGCTGCTGAAGGGGGAGGATTTTGTGTTTGATGTAACGCCGGAGGGGAGTGTGTGCGGGGGGAGCGGGGTGACCGCCGCTCTGGAGCGGGAAGAGGGGGTACGGGTGCGCTGGGGCGAACTGCTGCAGGCACGGCCGGATAATGAGGAGCCCGCGGCTCCCGCGCCGCCGGAATCCTACGGGGTGGTTGTGGTGACGGGGGCCTGTGATAGATTAACGCGGGAGAGTATTAGGCGGACGTGGGGCAGCGGGGCGTGGATGAAGGGAGCGCGGATAAGAGTGGTGTTTGTCTGTCGACTCATGGCTGGATCGAAGGAAGGTAAAAGAATCTGCTGCAGTGTCGTTAGAAATTTATTCTGAGTTTTCTGAACACTGTCGATTGAAGCATCGCTAAGAGAAAAACTCGTAGTTTTAAGTTTTCTGAATAAAATCGAAATCTGAAAGAATATTGCGGTTAATACGTAATTTGCTGAGAAAACTTGTAAAAAAGTTATCAAGTGAGTTATCTCCGGATTCCGTAACGTCATCTTTATCGACCCGTTTGAGTAGAATAACTTTTAAAATATCATTTTAATGTTTTCGTTAGTATTACAATGGTATTCGGCGTCTAATGGCGCTTAAGAAAAGGTATTATCGTATCTATTGAATGTTTCCGGTGCAATTTTAAATGAATAAATTGTGAATTGTGCACTCTCGTCTGGAAAGTGATGATTGATAAATTTGTGTTTGTGTTGGTAACTCTGTAAATAGTATGTTTTAAACAAACTGGTTTTCTTTGACGCGCCGATCAATGGTTTACTTTGGCTTTTGATTGTTGCTTCTTTCAGTTCTTTGATATTAAGTGTTCGATATCGCGATCGGTTCATTGTATTTTTAATTCTGTTATTGTTTATGGCTTTGTTTGATTTTGTTTTGGATATTCTGTATTCTTCGCTGCGGTTTTATTAATGGAAGTAGGTCGTCTTTTCAGACTTCCGGTTAACATTTAGTCTAAAGGAATTTTACGGGTCGCGTAGATTGTGAATTAACACTTTTTCCAGTATTTTTCATTTGTTATTAATTTTCTCTCGAAATAACCTTGTCAGTTTTTTATCTATCCTTGTTATACGGTCGACGTTGCTTGATGCTGAATTTATTCTTGAACTTGATTGATCTATGCTTGATTTCTCTAAATGCTGGGTAGAAATCGCCGCTCTTGTCAGAACACTGAACACCAGTCGGTCCCGTTCCACAGAAATTCCGCACACTCGTAATTGGACGATTAAACTTCGATTTCGGTCGGGTAATTGCGTGATTCCGTGCCAGCACTGCCCAGGGCCAGCGCGTATACTTACAAGTAGCGTCGTCAAGAAAAAAGTCAAAACTTCCATCTGGTCGGGTACGTCCGGGCGCGCGGTAGACGGGAGGAAGCGAGGGAGTAAATCATTTTATTGAGATTGTGCTTACGTCAGCCGCGCAGCGTTTAGTGGCCGGAGGGCGGCGGTTATTAAGCGGCATTGATGTTGTTATTTGTCATAAAGCAGGGGGGCCGGGGCAGATTATTGATCTGATTAAGTGCAGTGATCATTTGATTAAAAACCAACATCCCCAGTCCCCTGTGCGCGCACCGCGTTTATATATTGCATGTATGAATGAACGACTAAAATCAGTTAACGTGTAAACCGGTTTTGCGGCTAAAGCCGATAAAGCCGGTTGCGCAAATGAATGAAAGAACAGAGAGCGTAGCTGACGCGCACCGCTCAGTAGCGGTGATCGTGAAAGCGTCATTCAAAGTAGTACGCTGTAAGCCGACAGCGTCGAACTGTCCAGCGTTCGCCGATTTTGTCGTCTGCTGTAAACGCTAAGCCGACCGATCCCCGAGGCGCCGCTAAATACGCCGAACATGACCGGTGTCGATGCCAGAGAGTGACAAGCCGTCCAGGTGGAATGGGCTCAACAGGATTTGACTGTAATGTGGGCAATTGATTTTTTCTCCCGCGCGCGCGTCTGCGCCAGATAGTCGATCATTCATTTCATATCGGCGCGCGAGCTCCGCTGGCGGGATGAACGTCCGTGACGTCAGCACGGGTTGTTGCTCATACCCTGTGTGTGGTCGCTGGAGATGTTGTTCTTTCTAAAATTAGCCGGCAGTCTTGAATCTAGCTCATCCCGTTTTCAAAATGCGGGGAATGGTAGCGGAAACGCTGATAAGATATAGTAAATGATGGCAATTTACCATTTTCCATATTTTCTGCTCGATAGATTTAGAATCGCGCCCGGTTGATTGGGAATGTCGGACGATAGGATCAGTTTTGGTTTAAATTGAAAAATAAAATACATGACATGTGGAGCAGTAACATATCATCGATAAATGATAATTCACTGTTTTTGATGCTTCTCAAGCCAGTATTAATTGATGATTATTGTACTGTATGTTGCTTCCAATTTTCTGTATTACTCTCTCAGTAATTTACCATTCAGTAATTTCCGTTCTGTGTTAGAAAGACAAAACAGCGATGAGGAAAAGTAATGTTTTGTGTCGCTTTCTAGCAAATGAAAATTAAAGACAGTTAATAAGTAATATAGAAGTTCTTCGTTCTTGGATTCCGAGGCTTTTCCGGTGTGAAAGAAATGGTGTTGATATTACCGTATTGTCTTTCTGGCATCGATTTCATTGATTTCCATTATCTGTACATTGAAAATTTACATTTACTGCGTCTTGCGCTGCAATTTAACTGACGCGATCGGATATTTGCCCGATATGCCTCATTTTGCCTGTCTTGCAGACGATCCAATGGCAACTGAATCTCGCCTTTTCGCCGACATCCTGCAGTATCTGCGTCTGCCCACTGATTTCTAGCGGCCTTAATCTGGATCCAGCGCACCTGCAGCGAGCCCTCCCCGGATTTCATCGTCCGCACCACCCCGGCCGTTTATCACCTGCCCACCCTCCTGACCACGGCCGACCACCTCCCACCCGGTCTGCATGGCACCGCTTCACACCACCACCCCCGCCTTTCTGGACGGTCTCATTGCTCATCCAAAGACAATCTCCTCTGGCGCGCCACCCAGTACCTCCCGACGAATTTGTCCTGATAAAAACAGCCTCCAGCGCGTTCCTCGACCTGATCCCAAAATCCCCTTCGTCCCGGAGAGGCTTCTTCCTCACCGGGATCGCGGATTACGCGGAACTGGAGCGGTTCCGCTTGGAGAATGTGGAGCAGACGTGGAATGGGAGATCGGGATGCTGGATTAATCATCGTGCAGCATTTTACGGATGAAACCCGCCGAGATGGAGGAATTATGGCGCGCCCTGACCCGGGTGGGAGTTTGCATGCCGGCAGGGTGACGATGGTGTGGTGAGACGGATGGGGGATATTGTGACGTCGGTGGTGATCGGATCGCTGGTCCTGGTGATCGCCTACAGTCTGCTGCACAGCTACTTCTGGCCGTAGTTATCGTTATTCCGCAGCGATATCTGCAGTACCGTGGATCTGGATGGGGATGAGTACGATGATAGTCCGGAGTTGTCGGCGGTGCATTATGATTCCGATCGAGGAGGTGTGCAGGCCAGCGACACGTTCATGGGGTTCAGCGGGACGAAGGCGTACATGCAGGATCGCTTCTGAAGACGCGTGTTGCGGCAACGCGTTGGCCTTATGCGCGGAGAGGTTTCTTTTATTGTGTAGAGCCGGTTTTATTTGTCGTATGATTTTGTGGTTGCTGTCTGCCCCGGTGGATTTTGGGTCCGTGGTTGACCGGTTTGAGTGTTGCGAGGGGCGTGGTTTGCGATTGACCTGGATCTCGGTGTGCCGGTTTTTTATATAAAAGAATTAAAATTATTATGTTGTCGTACGAACGACGCAGGTTTTGCTAACTTGCCAGTATAGGTCACTCGCTTATTCGTACCAACAAAGTGGTTTGCTGTCGCTCTAAATTTACGCTCAAATTCAGTACGATAAGCGGCAGTTATAAAGGGCACACCGGAAAACTGCTTGCAAATCCAGGCTTATCCAGCGTACAAATTTGTACGAACTTTCGAAATATTTTTCAACTTTCGAACTTTCTTATATGTTACGTAATTGACAACAACCATGAATATTTTTTATGGTACGTAGTCGTACTTAATATTATGAGTTTAAGATTAATAATTTTAGGAATAGGACACAGCTTTTCGACCTTTTCTCCTTCGTAAAAGGTCCGCTTTGATAAATTACGTTTATATATATTCTACGGTATGTAAATATAATTGTACTTCTCGTGACAAATTTATTAATAAAAATTTTCCATCTTCCGTGTTGCACATAATTTCATAATTCGATTGAATAATAATTACTGCATATAACTGGAAGTTTAAATTCCGTTTTCCGTGAATTTAAATTGTTAACTTTCCATTTACTGGTTTTGGCACCGTTTTGCAGTTTCGGTTAATCCCGAAGCAGTCGGCAGGGTGAAAGTTTCCGGAAATAATCGAGATTCGAACACAACGGTTGAATATTGTTAGAAACAATGTTCTGACAAAATTCCACATTTGGCGCTCAAATTAACTGACGTCACCGTACCCAGATGAATCATGTTATGTAACTTGCCGTGTTTGCTGTATTAAAATGCACACTGGCACAGCAACAAGTCTGCAGAACAACTTCGCAAATGCAATAAAGCCGTCGTATCCAGGCGTGTCACAAAGGCCATCGCACACAAGAGCAAGAGGAGAGAGAGAAATTTTAAAGAGACACCTCAACGGCTCACCCAGACAACGGATATACAACGGTCAAATGCGGCATTCGTGTCAGTGCAAGAAATTTTTCAGTGGGCTGTCTGATTCGCACATTCCAAGAAGTCTGTTAGTATTCGGCTGTTGTTGGTTAGCTGCAGTTTTTACTTTTTAGTCGGCACTGCAGTCTGGTTCCCAATAGTTCCTAAACTTTGTGGAACAAGCAGGCTGTAGTTTTGTTCGATTGACTGTTGAGTGTTGTTTATATGCCGGTAAGCAGTCCGTTCTAGAATTTAAATAAACGGGAATCCGCACCGCTCTTGTCGTTTCTTTTTGCATTGCGACCTAAACGATTTCGATGTTTCGATTTTCTTTGTCTACCGCAAAGTGCCGGTGTTTAGATCGAATCAAATAGCTGCCGAAACTAGGTTACGTAACACTGAAACATAGCAGATTACTGTACTGTTTAATTTTAGGAAGGCGCTTTGCAGTTTATTTCTTTCGTTTTCTGAATTCTGATATTACCGCTGCTGTTGCAGTTTTCATTGTCGGAAACGGGAATATCCAAGAATGGCCGCGGGACGTGTTCAGCTGCGCTTTCCCGGCGTGGATTCGCTGGTCGTCCATGTCAGCACCGCAACACCCGACCTGTACGAGGCGTGCCGTGCCGAAGTGCGCCGTCTACTCCAGTCCGACAATTTCCGTTTCCTCTTCTACAGTAAGCATGTACAACATTAGCATTTGTAATAAACTAATAATGATTGAGCCATCATTGAGGGGAATTTCACGGCTGTAGTTTTTACGGAATGTCTTGGGGATTGGAGAATGTCATCGTAAGAATCCAGTATCCACTTTGTAACCGAGTAGAATTAATTGCTATCGGTGTACCTTCAATGAACTACAAAATAGACTAAACGCTGACCAATATAGCCGCTAAAGCCCTTTGCGCAACTGGTTCAGTCCGACAATACGTCACTTTAGATTAATTTTTTGCAGTCCAAAACTGTCCAGTGTACATACAGCGGTACGGTTGTAGTTGTACCGCTGTGATGTTGTATAGTATCGCTATGTAATAACCGTAATATCAGGCATTAAAAAGATTTTCCAAGATTTTTCACGGTAATTTATTGGCAATAAGCCAACGATCACCTTAAAAGTACAATGAAATTTCTTGAGTCGGCATGCAATTTTTGTCAACTGTTTCAGTGAAAATCACACACACACAGTATCAACGCACATTATATTATTTGCATATTCTAATTTTTCCGCGTTAACAGCTCCCGCGGGTATTCAGCCGCAACGGACCTTTATCTGCGCGTCGGAGGAGGACCTGCAGTTGCTGGTGCGCTTTTACGAAATGGCGTGTAATTACTGTATCCCGTTGACGGTGCAGGGCGTGCCACGGGAACCTCATCCCGTGCCGGCTCAGGCTATTGTTCTGCCACTGGCCCAGGACACCGATAACCATCACGACATGCAGCAGCAGCAGGAAAATGCGCACGGGCAGTCAGCCAGCGGAATGCATGCTGGCATTGGTCCAAACATGGACGAAGAAAGCATCGGTATGTCTCATTAATGGCGCAAATTTAATCCACATTGTTCCCGAGAATTTGCGGCGTCTGTGAAAGACAACGAGCCGCGACGCTGGCATTTTAAACGATTCAATACGATTAGAAGCTATTTAATTAAAAAATTACACTGAACACTTATTTAGTTACGTACTTATTAAAAATATAAAGTAAAGCGTATAAACTGTAAAGTATTAATTAAGAGCAAATACACTTTTATTCCATAAATTGGTAGTTCTTCTGTTTATGGTTAGTATAATAGTACCACTTATTAATACTGTGTGTTATTGCAAAATTTACAGCGCATTCGTGTATACAGCTGTACGTGTAAATGATATAAATATACTGTAATGATATACGAGTAGATTACTGAGAGTTAGTATTTGTGGTCGTTTTAAAATATTTTGAAAAATATAATTATTGAATTGATTGTGCGTTTATCAGTTTCATTTTGTCGTAAAATGGTTCGCAGGTGTAAACATTAGAAATCGATGAAGATTTCAATAAATCTGTACTTGTAGCCAAAGAAATGAATATCTATAAACTTTTTTGTGTTTGTTTTTGTGTGTACGCAAAGTGACGCGTATACAGTTTTTTAAGCTAATTGCCGGCGGTATGAATTAATTTTAAAACGCGCAATAAATAGCGATTGACCTTTCGTTATTTTCACAAAAGTCACTGTAGCTTGAAGGAATGGATCTGTCGCATTGTGTTTTGCGGTCGCTGCCAGAATTACCGGCAACTGCATCCAGGTTTTGTTGCAGACGGAAGTGCCGAAAGCATTGTTGGGAAGATTTTCGCCGCTGTCGAGTTGATGCTGCCCAAGGGCCGGGAAAGCGATGTGCTGGGCCGTTTAAACGACCAGATCTCCTACAGCCTGGCCGTCGCGTCCGGACGCCGCAATGCGGACCAACCGGCCAGTACGAGCAGTGCATCGTTCGGCACTGGGTATTCGCGGCACAGCATGACGGATTTTCGAGCGAGTAACGCAGGTGAGCGTGACCTTTCATGCACATGCCCCGAGATAAATGTGACCAGCGGAAATGTCTTGGCGGGAAAAGATTTATTGTAACTGTATGCGTGAGAACTGTCGGTCAAACTGTCGAATGCAGACTTTGTTCTGTTACACAGTTCTCAACGCCGAAGGGCGTGGAACGGGTGAGAGCAGTACGAGTAGCGATGACCGTCCACGGATTCGGATGATCAACGGGCAGCAGATGCAAGGTACGACGTTGCCGTTGTATGATTTAACCTGTATCCGAGAAATTTATAAGCAAGAAATTTCTGGGCAGACAGTTAATATTAACGATAAAATAGTTCTTGAATTTTCGTTGCTTATTTACATTGCACGTACTGGATTGTGAAAAATATCTTCCAATTGTCACTGACTATAAAATGTATTAAAAAGAGTATCAGTATTTTGTTTCTCTGTATTTTGTGAAATTTGAAGAATGAGATCATATTAAGTTTTAGGGGGGCCTTACATGCAAATTGACCCGATCTGTATTCTTGTCCAGTTTCTTGTGCCACTGTTGTGAGGATTTCTATTAATTCCAGTGATCTTTATGTAAACCTGTAGGGCCCACGCTTAGATGATTTTAGTGAAACACTTATCAGCGATATTAATGGCTGGAATATAATATATTGTAATATTGCATTTCTAAATTAAAATTTTTATCAGCATTTGCACTCTAATTTATTCAAGAGATTAATGCCAGTACTGTAATTTACGGATAGGATTAAAATCCACCAAATATTTTAAATTTTCCACATTTCTATTTTGGAGTTCCAAGGAGAATCAGAAGGCAACGTGAAACATCGGTTTGTTAAACATCATTGATATGTGTTTATCCGTTAGCTCCCCCGACGCCGGATGCGGCGAAACCGCCGCCCCGCTTCCAGCACCTGCACAGTCTGCTGAACGCCGCCCCGGCGGTCCCGCTTCCGCCCGGCACACCCGCGCCCAAGCAGCAGCGCAAACGCGACCTCCTGCAGCATAAGCAGCGCAGCATGACCTTCGCCGCACCCACCATGGCCCCCACCATGGCGCCCCTGGTCAGCTTCCCCGGCACTGTCACGCAGGAGCCCCGGAGACTGGCGGATATCGGACGCGGGAAGCCGGGCTTCGTGTGTCCGCGGTGTCCGCAGACGAAGGCCACCCGCAGTCTGGTGCTGGAACATCTGGAGTTCCACGGCAGCGGCGGGCGGTGGACGTGCCAGGAATGTGATTTCTCCACGGATTCCCACACCCGCTTCAAATTCCACGTGAAAGTCCATCAGGCGACGCTGAGCGGAGGAGAGGCTCCGGCGGAGACGGGAACGGTCGGGGAGCACGCGGCACAGGATATTTATGGTCAACTGTAAACGGTGAATAAATCGTGCCTGGTGTGTTTGATCGGTTTTTTTCGAAATGGTTCCTGGCTGACCTTTCGTGTTGTCTCAATTTTGGACTGATTGGTAATTAGTATTTAAATGCGTGGTATTTTGGAATTCGGACCGTTTAATTTACAGTAACATTACGGTGTTGTTTGATATTGCGTTGTTCGGTTTTTTTATGCAGGCTTGATTAATGATTAACGTGTTGTTGATGTTGCTTTTCTGAAATGCGACTTGAATAAGTATTTTAACTATTTTTGTATCCGATTGCATTAGTTCAGGTAACGAATAAAATATTCATGATTGTTGGCACATACGAAAGTTATCCTAGCGGTTTCGAAAGCGAAGAACAACCCGTTGTTGCATACCGGCATTCTGGTTTAGCGGTAAGCGGCCTACCGCCGATGTAGGTAATTGTGAAATGCGTAGTAAATTAATTTGCACCAGTAGTCTATTGTCATGACACGCACCAAGAACTAAAATATTGATAAAACTTGGTTATCACATTCAACAGACACCTTTATTGCTGTTGATCTTATCATAATTATTCTGATAGATGGCTCTTGTCTAGGCAACAAGTACATACTGTGTCTACTTAGATCGACAATTCAGTGAATTCACAGTTTCGGTGAAAACACTTCTTTACACCGCCAACCGGTTTATTAAATTGTTAGTGTTATGAATATAATAATATAGATATGCAGCAATAGATACACTGCACGAAGCCGCTCTTAATCGTGCTCTCTCGTCGTTTTGATTACGTATTTACAAATTACAGATACAATATTTGCGACAGTGTTCATTATTTACATTACTAATATTGTGCATTCCATTACCAATATTCTGCATTACATTTAACAAATACAATATAGTATTACTTTTAGAAGTACAAGTACATATTTAGACGAGGATATACGAAATTTTTCTTTGTAACTTTTTACCAATTCCGTGGCCTTCAACGGCGCTGATGTAATCAGTGGCTATGGCTAATCAGTAATCACGTACATAACTGGTAAATCTACTGTTACAAATGCATTTAATAAATTATTAAGTAATTGTATTGTGCGATTTATGCTGACCATGAGTAGTTAATAAGTTTACGGAAGTACGTACTTAACACGCGTACGAGGTACAATTTAAATACAGTACTGTACAGTAGGTTTAAAATGGACACAAGTACGACTCATACAATAATTTATACTGTACTTATACGAGAACGATAATAATAATCAGTAGCCAGTTGAGAGTTCGCAACGGTTTTCTCCAGTCCAGCGAGACTGCATTTTTTACTGTACGAGCCAGTGACCACGAGAAGCCAGAGCCAGTACAGTACGTACGTACAAGACTTAACCACGGGCACGGTGCCAAATACCAATCAACAAGGCAAGATGAGGCTGTGGCGGTTTACGTATATCTGGCACTTCCAAGTTCCAGTACAGCAAAGCGCAAACCGCTGAAACCAGACATGTGCATTCCTGAAGCTTTGTGACATTTGTCAGTTGCATTTGCCATCAAAATCCGTATTCTGGTTTGTTAACGATTTTCTTGACTGTTTTGATTCCTTATTTCTTTTATAACCTCAACGGTAATAATTATTGTCATCGGAGATTTATTTATGGTGAGTATTCAATGCAGAATATTGAATCTCGAGGGAGGAAGACTGGAGAGTGATACAGTACAACTACGAAGAACCGAGAACGTTCCAGTTAGTCAGGCGTAGAATGAGATCTGAGAAGCATCAGCACGATAACGGTTGCGGCGTTTGCCTTATCTGATATTGGTTCTGAATCCGTGATCACTGATTACAGAATTACTATGGCTCCGCGTTACATCCAGCTGTGCTCTCCCAGCCTGCTCGGCCAGACACCCCTCACCCTGTTGGCAGGCGGTGCACATTGCTACCAAGCCTGCCGTAACACGCTGCGTGCGCGGCTGCTTACGGATGATTTCCGTCTGGTCTTCCGCAGTAAGTAGTACTAAGTACTGTTCTGGCTGATGACATTCTGCAGTTGGATGCACTCTGACCCGTTACAGCGATGATCGGCCAGAAGGAGCACAGTATCGAGTGCCAGTCGGAGACGGACCTGCAGAATCTCCTGCACCACGGACACAGTGATGAGGGCGGACGCGATATTCTGGAGCTGCATGTTGTGCGCTTGCCTCGGCGTGCGCACGGCTCCGCTGCTGGCAGCAACGCGGATGACGCAACAGGTACGTGACTGATTTACCGATCGTGTTACACTGTGCGTGTTGTCATAGTTTCATTATGGCGTAGCGGAATATAGTTGTCCACATTAAAATCATCGTAAATAACAGATAAAGCGTTTTTTGATTTGAGATTGAAGTGCTTGAAACCCTGTATGATCGATTTCATTCTAACAGTCATTGTTCTACAATTTTCTTACTGATTTCAGTTTCGTTTATGATTTATCCATACGAATTTGTAAAAAATGGTTTCAGAACAGGGTATTAACAACACTGCGCTTTTTTGGTATACGTACGAGAGCGGATAGTGTCACGATAGTATGCAGAAATCAAGAATTAGGAGTCTTCATAAATATGCACCGCACCTTTCTTGTGTGAAATTGTGAAAGTCCCTTTGCATGTTTTTGAATTATTTTCAGGAAAATAATTTTTACAGTATCGCGAATAATGCTTAGCGATTTTGTTATTAACATGCAGTTATATATAATAACATGGATATCAATCGTAAGGTGAAGAATATCTATATTTTTATACCTATTTGCCAGTATATAGTATATACTATATACAATACCGCATTTCTCTTGCCTGGAATATATGTTGCGCGTTTTCGATATTTGCTGAGCAAGTGCACCACCACACGCACCTGTGTTTTCTAACGACACTGGCAAGAATATAATGCTGTTCTTATTTGCGGGTGAGTGTGATGTTTTGATTGCAGCGTTGTCGGTGCAGATCACCGTCGGCCACATGTGGAACGCCGTAAAGTTGATGCTGCCCAAGGAGAACGAGGTTCCCGTGCTGCGCGGCATGATTGACCAGATGACGAATCGTATCGCTAGCCGCACCGCGGAACGCTCACCTTCGCCGCATCCCGGGAATGCTGTGCCGCGGGAGTCCGATGGACTGCAACATGTGCTGGACACGCCCGGAAGCAACGGCGGTAATGCTTAAAAAAACTAGCGAATTAATTCAGACAGTACATTTCAGTGATTATAATGAGAATAAATGCGGTAACAAATATTGGTGCAATGCCATTGATTATATAGATAATAGTTACAGTACTTACTTTACAAAAAATCTTACGAGTACAGTACTAGTACAATAATTATCATTACTGCGTCTTAATGGCTGGTGTTAAATCTACAGATATGTTTCACATTTACACGAATTTTTTAACAATCGTATCAGTATAGAATAATCAGTACATGAATTTACGGGCATTTTTATTATACTCCTATACTATTTGGAGTGGTATTAACATGCTTAAAAAATGCAGACATGATTCTGTACATGGAAGCAGGTATTCACTTGTTAGTACGAGTATAATAAGAAATGCGGCATAGCTATAAGATCATTTTGCGTACGAGTAGGAATTAATCGCGGACGGGTTGATGGATTTCACAGCATAGTGGCATCTCATCGAGCGAGCGACACCGTCGAGAATTACGGTTCGCGTGGCTCCATCCATGGTAACTTGGAGCCGGCGCTGAATCAACGTAAGATCTGAATCAACACTGAATCAGCGTCCTGGCGTTTATTGCCGCATGTATAATAATTTTTTATGATTTTCAGCTATAAATAAATTTCATAATTAGAGCTATATAAGTGAATGATTTCATAGTATTTATTACCTTTTTAGCATTACAGTGTAACATTAAAGTTGCTCTTGTGATGTTTCAGGGCCGTTGGTGCAGGATCTGCGTAAGGCTCCTAAACGCGTGCATTTCGCCGAGCTCATGGGAGCGCGGTCGTCGGTGGTGGCCTCGGCGGATCGTCGTAAGCAAGCCAAGCAGGGGATCGTCCAGCACAAGCAGCGCAGTAGCACGCTGCCCTCGTCCAGCCAGCCCCTGATGGTCATGACCATGCCACCGCCGCTGGTGCAGCCGGGCGCCGGGGAACCGATCGTGGAGCGAGTATCGGCCAGCAACAAATTCCTGGGCTACAAATGCCCCATGTGTCCGCAGCGGAAGGCGATCAAGCGGGAAATGACGATGCATATGGCGTTCCACGGCAGTGCTGGTCCTCTTTCATGCCCGCGCTGTAATTTCGCCACCGACAACCGGAAGCGTTTCAATCACCACGTTAAAGTGCACCAGCAGGAGGAGGCCGAGCAGGAGGCGGCGGTGATGTCGGCGGCGGCGTGGGGTGGTGCGGATGCGGCCATGCGGAATCCGTCTGTGAAAGGTGGTGAGTGGCTGACTAATTTGTTAAAACCTTTAACAATTCGCTAAAAAATTAAACAGTACTAAACCAATATATAATTGACCAACGTTTAATTTAATAAATTCAGCATTTGATTTGGATTTTCTGGCATCAAATAAAATTGTTGAATTCATTTAGGATTCAGTAAAATTTTAAATTTTCATAAAAATTTCAAATATAAGTGATATATTTGGGTTTTTCCACAGGACTGTTGATAAATGATTTATCCGCTTTTGAATTATTTACGTTTTTGAATTAACTGATGAAGGTGAGGGAGGTATGTATCTGTAGCTGCCCTTATTTTGATATGTTCAGCGTTTTATTTTTCTCCAATAAAATTTATTCAACGGTAATTGTTTGCGCTAAAAGTGTCACTTATTAATGAGTTTTTTTTTGACAGGCGAATCGCCATCAGAGGCGAGCGAGGAATCGCCCCCGTCGGATCGGCCCTTTAGCGGACAACTGCTGATGCCGCGAAAGCGTGTCGCTTCCAGTGAGCGCTAGACGGAGAAATGTCTTCCGGGGGAAATGTAACAAGCGTACTGTGTCTTGGATGATTGTGGAATGGTGACACGACAGATGGATAACTCGATAATTTAGTATTTCGTTGGACGATGAAACCCAGTGGTGGATACTCTCTATGAGAATATAATCGGTTGCCTTTTGTTTTGATACAGTTACTGAGTATTTACGATTGGGCTGGCGGTTTTGTACAGGCCGCGATCTCAAACGCGATCTGCCTGACGTGATGTTGATAATTACTTGCGCGTCATTTTGTTATTATTTTGATCACTCTATTCCGAAGATTTTTAGTACAGGTTTTATGAGAGCGTATTTCGTTGGTTGCACAGTGCACTGATCTTCATAATTTGACCAATGTCGCACATTTTCTTTGTAATGGGTAATTAAGTACTCGTTTTGTTGTTGAATCTTCTACTTTGTTAACTGTTTTTATGGATGCATGCAAACGATTGGAGTTTGATTCTTTTTACTGTTATGTAACTTTGGTTTGAATTTTATTTTAAAAAAAGGATTTCTTGGATGCATTAGTCGTCGGTTTCGATAAAATTGTACTGTTCCGCATTCAAAAAAATTGTACAACTATAATGTACAGCGCAAAATGCCGAATACGAAAATACACGCAGAAACAGAAATTTATAGGAAATAAAACTTGAAACAATTTTGGAAAAAAGTTCTAGAAATTATTTCTATTGATAATCTGGAAGAAATAATTTTTCAGTATGCGAAACGTACCAGAACTAACCATTTTGAAAAGCTGAAGTATGGATATTACAGAAAGAAACACTACAAATAAACTGACGGTTTATTAAAGGCAGAATTTTGAAATAATTATCTTTACAATATTTTTGATGCCGGTATTTCATGCACTTTGTACAACGATATACCGCCACTTGTAAATTGTCGATCGATCAACTTGATAAGTGTGCGAAATTAAAGCAACATCACTGCATCTGCAGCGCGGATCAGCCGACGAGCCGAGTAACGTGCGAAACGTGAATCACGATCCTCACTGACTCACTGTGCAGCAACATGCCGCTCCGCCATCGTGTTTAAACCTGACTAATCCTAAATACAGCTGATCGCAGTGTTCGATATGGGGCAGGTTGGGCATTCAGCACACATGTTTCTGGAACGGAATTTTTTAAACACTTCACTTACTCAACGAAGGATTGAAAGTTTAACCATCCAGCCGGAATACCCGTTACTGATACTTTTCATTATCCTGCGCAGATTTGTTTTAACTTCGGATATTTGGAACATCGCAGTCCTGTGGTCATCCTGAAAATGACATCATCCACAAAACAGTACGTTAACCGGCTGGATAGCAGGATCCTATTCGCCAACTATGCCTTCATCCTGGGCATCCTCCAGATTACGATGGGGACGGCACTTCTTGCGATAGACCTAACAGGTACAGAAACTGCTGCGTACGTAAACCGAGCCGTTTTTGAAAGAACTAACCGAATAAAGTACGGCTGCATTTTCTGGAGCAACTACTTATCAGATGCGCATGCGCATGCCAGATGGCATAAGTAAACAGTTGTTGTTACTACTATTATTACTACTTGAAGTACTATTAATATGATAGATTACAGAATTCAGTACATACTCGTATATACTGCTGGAATTTACATTGAAACAGATAGCCTATTCAAGACGTTTTTTGATGAACGACATTTCGACTTTACAACAATATTTTTTTGCTGTAAAACTGTTTCTCGGAAGTAAATGATTTAAGTCTAATCTACTTGTTTAATTGACGATGAGTTCGATCTTCGTATAAAAACAGCATTTATGTACAATGCATAGCTATCGTGTACGGATTAATTACAACGTCGCGTGAATAAACATGAAATTTTCCTCACTGACTCATTTGGATACCCAGTGATTTTCAGTTATGCAAGTAGCGTATGACGAACGTCTGTTTTGGAATATACTGTAACTGATTTACAGCAATTTGATTTCTGTCTTAATTAACGTGTTTACCTCAATGTGAAGGTGCTCTAGGTTTCTTCAAAGTGCGCCGCGACGAGAAGCTGATCACGTACGACATCGCCTTCGGTGTGGTGTTCGACGTCTTCTTCATCATCTGCGGCACCTTCGGGATCCTGTTGGCCCGCCCCTGCCGCAACGGCGAGACTGCTCCCTCGCGCCGCACCACCCTCACGCGTTCGGCGGTGATCAACGCGCTGGCCGCGGCCGGGCACGTCTTCTTCCTGGCGCTGAACATTTACATCGTCATCATGTCCTGCCAGCATGAACTGTACGTCAAGGTGCTGGTGCAGGGGTGTGTCCTGCTGGCGCTGCACGTCATCGCGTTGCTCATCACCGGGTTACAGCTGACCATCATCGGCATGAATCTGCGCAATGTCGGCGCGGTCATTCTGGTCAGGAGCGCCGAGACACCGGCCGTCTCAGCGTGACCTTTTCAACGCTGTTATCCTGAAGTGACCTTTTCCTAATCGTCTGACCGCGGTGGTTCACCCGCGTCCTGACCTATGATAATAATTAAACTCAAAAAGTGCAACTTACGTTTCTTTAATTTTTCTCAATTTTGATCTGCTTTTTATAATGTCTTATACATAAACCAAATTAAAAACATAATCAGTTACTTGCCAGCCAATGAATGTGTAAAAATACTGTGCATTTTGATTTTGATGTCCTGCTTACAGAAATCAATCTATTGCTTTTAGTTTTGCTGTCTTAAATTTTGTGCGATTATATGGTGGTTTTCTGTGAACTTTGGGTGTGTTTTTCTTATTGGAAAAATAAAGCGTTCTGATTGGAATAACGATCCAATATAATCCAGTTATAATAACGCTCGTTGGTTCGCTAGTAACAGTGTCGCCCTGGAGTGTCCTTTTTCTTGCCGTACCGTGGTGGCTCACCCGGTGCGTTGATTAAACTCAACAAGTGAAATTTACGTTTCTATTGTTTCTCAGTTTTTAACCCGTCTTTTTAACGTCTACATGAAAAACTAAAACATAAACAACCCGTTGAAAATACTGCGCATTTCATCTCGCGTCCTGGTTAAGGAAATTAATCTGGAATTTTTATTTTTACTGTTTAAATTTTGTATATTCATATGGGTGGTTTTCCTTGAACTTTGGGTGTGCTTCTTATGGGAAAAATAAGGTGTTCTGATTATAATAACGCTCGTTGTGGTTCGGTATAAATGGTAATTACTGTACATTGTAGGTACCTGTCCCCTTGGTAAATGGTAATTTTGATCGGCCCAATTGATAGACACGGATCTGATACGGTAATGAAAATTATACATACTTCATTACTGTTTCGGCGCACTGCTGCGGCGGGTGCCGGTTGTTGTTGAACAAGATCATAGACCGGATACCGCATATCATTAGACGTATCGGTAATATCAGCAATTTGCACCTAACACACTCGTGGCCATGGATAGTTTATTGCTGAAGTGTACAAAAACTAGTCCGACCAGTTGTGTATATCGGTAATATACGCCGCACAGTGTATACGCGAAAGAAAAGCCTGTGGCGTGAAGGGTGAAAAGAGTAATAGAGCTTCTGCTTGCAAAAACATTGTTAGGCCTGCTGCGGGTATAACAGAAGTTTCCACAATGGAAATCAATTTCTCTATCACACGTGCGATCAACTCTCGATGACAGTTTCTCATCGTAATTATGCTGGAGTTCCCTAGTGACAAACTTCCCATGGAACCGTATAATTACCGGCTGGTGTGTGGACAAGGCATCGTGCAACTGGTCATCGGATTGATATTTTCTGCCTATTATACAACAGGTACATCGCTAATGCCCATCTCCAGCAAACCCTAATTACGCTTGTCAGAGAGTGGTACCGATTTTCTTTGTGTTGTAATTACGTGATATGCGTTTGGGTTTTTTAATATTTTTGCCTGGAATAACTTTATATTTGGCGAAGATTTTATCCGTCAGATTTTATACACACATCTAATTCAGCTGAAAATACGTGCAATTAAATTAAAATCAAATAGCTGAAAAAAGAAAATTATTTTTGTTTTTAGCACTGCCAGTGTCAGATAATTTTATTTCATGCATTTATGTACATGACTCATTGTTTCATTCATTTATAATGTGAAAGCGATGAAAAAAATGTTAAAACAGTAAGCGTAACCCAAAAACGCCGTCCATATTATTTTAATAAAATACCACCATTACTAGCAGTAAAAGTTTTATTTAGCAGAACGTTTCTGTGTACTGTAGATAGCTAAATTATGTAAGGATGATTCATTTTTACCCTGATTAGACTTGCCCATTAAAATCATTAAAAGTTAGTACAAAAAAGCAAGTTAGCATTAAAAGCTAGTATTAAAAACTAAACTAGGTAGTATGTATTATATATATTTTGCCAAATATTATTTCTAAAATATTACAATACTTACTAATATTACTTACTTACTTACATACTTAATATTACATACAGTACTTACATACTTACTTACATACTTACATACTTACTTAATATTACTTATTTCCTGAATTATTGTTCACAGCTCTAATAAAATTCGTGACCACATTTCGCCACTGGCACATTCACAAACTCATTTCCCTCATCACCGGCGTTTTACTCATCACCTGTGGAATTTGTGGGATCATCGCCGGACGGCGTTTCCACACCGGGAAAAATTTATCCCGCCGCTTATACACTCTCTTGTCGGCGTTTATCCTCAGTCTCATCCTGACCGGCGTGGCACTATACTTCATTGTCCTCGCGGCGGCCACCACAATTCGCCGGGACACCCATTACGGTGCTGACCACTCGTGGTATTTAGCCAAAGATATCGCCATCCTGTCACTGGACATCGTCGCCTGTATTGTCTCCTTGGCACAGGCCATCGTGTGCAAAATCAGCTGGAGACGGCTAAAGGCTCTGCGGGCACGCGATTCCGATGGACAGGAATATTTGGCTGTTAATCAACACATGCACAGTGTCTGACATGTAATAATATGCACAAATGACGTTTTTATGCACCCGCTGTCCGGTGACATTAAATCCCTTCTTTATGTCTGCTTTTTTTCTATTTATTTGTACAAAAATTTATGCCCAGCAACGTCGGCCCAGCATTTTTGCCCTTCGGCCCAGCAACGTCTTGAATGGTTTATTATAATTTAACCATAATACGAAGTTCATTCTCCCTGTTATACAATATTTGTGAATAATAAAAGAAGAGTGTTATTGTAAAAGTAGCAAAGAGAAACGCATAGGCTTGGCTGTGTACTCGTATAATGGTGGTGAAAAGTGAAAACGCACCTAGCAGGCAACTGCTGCCATATACGAACTTGATTTATTTGATGGGAAAATCATCATGTTTCAAGTTGTTTCTTTTTTGCGAGTGCCTCCGGGCTCCAGTTATGCCTTTAAATTGCGGTAGTCTATAAACCACTAAACTTTACTACCCTGTTTTTTGCTAAATACTGTAATTGCAGCATGTATTGTACAATATTTCCCTCGAACACTTTGTCGGATTCTGAATTTCCGGGCTTATTTTCGCCTGGTTTCTCCTTGTTGTTTGGTCACGCGAGCAGGCAGCGGTGCCGGTCAAGGTGGCATTGCAAGGGTCAGTGAACTTGAAGGGATGGAGAGTGGAATGAAGGACATAGAGGAAAAGTATGATGGATTGTGCGCAGTGAATGATCGCTATTGGTGGGTTACACGAAAAAAAATTACGAAAGTAAAGAAATCGAAAACTAAAAACGTTTTGTCTGCATATCAGCTAGTAAGTTATAGCTGACACGCTAATGTGACTAGCATGGGACGTACAGAGTGTAGCTTTTACCGCTGTAACCCAGAGTCCGCAAAAGTTCGCAATTTTTTTGTGCATGCGTTTATTGAAAGTTCGAAGAAACTGACCTTTATGACCCATCAAGTTGACGTACCGAACAATTTCAGAAAGTGCCATAGTGCCTTTAAAGGGATGTAAAGTTGAAGCCGAATACATTCAGTGAATGCTTTGACTAGCACATACTAAAAACTGACAAGACCGGAAGTACGTAGATTCCGAATGCTGTTTTTATTCGTTGCAAAGTTTTTCGCCCAGTGGCATTTGCGGCTGCCAAGTTGCATATTACTAAATTATAATAGCTTTATCGTTTTGTATAAAGTACTGAAATATTTAGGAAACATCAGTCGAAATTTGGAGATGTCCGAGAAGGATAGTTTGGATTAATCGGCTAAAGCTGCGAATGATACTGTATAACTATTTTTATCTTTGTTCCTAATATGATTGTATCATAGGATCAAGTACGGTAAACAGCACAGCTAGCGGTTCGTTCAGTACAGTATGCTGTAAGTACAAGCCCGTTTTCAAGCCTGTAGACCGCTGTAAGCGCGACGCAGTGAATAAGCGCACAGTTAAAGGCTAGATTTTATCTACTCGACACTGGATGCATTGGCGTAGAGCAGTCAGTCTATCTCATACTTGTCTCTCTCACACACCCCTCACACCGCAGTGGCGTTAATGACCAATACGCCGTGACGTGCCGAAGCACCTTGAATGGCTCAAGCCCACGTTTTTCAAATATCCCGCTTACAGCGGTCTACGGGTTTGAAAACGGGCTTGTACGTATTGTCGGAATTGATCCAATCTACACAGTAATGTTTATTTAGACAAAGTGCAGGTTATGCTCTTAGCATGTGTTAATTAATGCTGCTTAAATTAGTGAGAACTGAGGATCGTTGCACACAGCCTTGATTTATATCAACCACCATGCCAAGACATCAAAATCTAGCGCTGTGGTAGTGTACCTAGTTTTACACTGCAGATAAGCTTTAGGGCGAACGCAAAGACCTAAATTAAGTGGATATAACGCTTTTTTGGTTCCAATGTTTTTTTGCAGTCATCATCTTGCTTTCCGACATAGTTACGAGCACGATCACAGGATCAAAAATCATCAGCAGAAGGTAGAAAACGTCGCTGACCGCACCCACTTGAAAGTAAACTTTAAACGTCCGACTTCGCTCGATAACGTTTAACATCCGTGCCATAGCTAAAAAATTCTGTGGTGTTAACAAATCAGCAATGATGCAATCAGCGCACTAATAGCCACAATCCCTTGATAGCGCTTTTTCCTGCTAAACAGGCTAAATAGGCTAAATATTTCCGACGATAGGGTAAAGCCACCAGTAAGAACACCAAAGGCAGGTCGAAAATCGTCACGATAGTAATCTTTTATAACTGAACGTCCGTGTGACCGCGGATCTGACAAGCCGTGGTACCGTAACTTGCTTGTAGGATTACTCCAGGAATACATATCAGATGTACAAGGATAACAACCGCTAAAACTAAACCCGTTAATCCCCGGGATGCGGAATGCTGGTGATAAGAAACTGGATAGACCATTAGTTCTATAGAGAACCTTTCACTATGCTGTCTGGAAACCTTTCCAATAATACATCCCCTTACACCCTTCCATGGAAGAGTTTGACTGGAAAGACACTTTTGCCGCGATCGTTAACGGATTGAGATTCCTCATGAACGCTTTGCTGGTTATTGTGTTCGCGCCACGATATCATAAACCTTTTTTTTTGTGGACTTCTAAGCCTAAGTTCGTAAACGGCGTGTTCTGTCTACTAAGTTTTGTCCTAAACGGCGTGTTCTGTCTACTACTACTACTAACTTGTCAGCAATCACTGTTTCTGGTGGTCAGCAGTTTGCAATGACGTCATTCCGTGTGCCTAGGACATGTACACGGGACGGACGCTGGAAGGCATCACTATCAACCTCTACGCTGTACTAACCCTTAACCGAATATGGGCTCACTCACAACAGTCTGTAGGCAGTTGACAGGAAAGTTATTAATTTAGGACAGATTAGGGAAACTTGAGGTATCTGTACTCTGTAGTATCAGACTTGCCGTTATCGCCGGTTCCAAGCCAACCAAGTTAAACCAATCGCTAACAGAACACATTGTACCTGAACTCGTGTTGTAAATCGGTTTGCGTTTTTGATTTTAAGTTTATAATAACGAAGTACAAAGCAGGATGCTGCTTGATTGCCATCGCGTTGTAAAAGGATAGGTGCAGCGTGTAAACGCACAGTCACCCAACGGGACGCAATTTGACACCCGTAATTTTAGCAGGGCATATAGGGTTTTTGAAGCGGTTCATAAAATTAATAGAATAGAAATCAAGCCAAATGTTTGCTTATTGGAGAGCGCTTTCAAAGAACAGTGTCTGTTACGGTAATGACCGTTTGGCGGAAGCTACGGGATATACTCTGTATACGCTCTTATAACTACGAATTGTACTCTGTATGTAAAACGTAGGTATTGTACCGGTACTGGTATAACGCGGTGCAAATAATTCCGTCAGTAATTGCCTGTTTGTCCAGGAAACCGTCTCACTGAAAAAGATTAGCTTGAGAACATGCAAGAATTGTTCCGCATTTCCGAGAGCATATGACATCATTTTAAAACTGATACAGTTGAAAGAATGTTTCATTCATAAAAGAATCTTTTGCATGCTTTTCGTGCATGGCGAGCAAGTTTTCTTTCTTTCTAAGAATTTCAGGATCTCGTCCAATACTGCGGAGTAGAAAATAGTAGCGTGCAGCTTGAGGCTACTAGTCGCTTCACGTTCAGATTATATTTTATGCCAATGGTAAATCGCTAACTCGATGTTTGAATACGAGTTTTCCGTTTAAATACCAAAAGCCGCAGCAAAAGCTGTCGCACGTTAGGCAGACAAAAAGCAAAGATGATTGGATCCACAATGGCCTGCACAGTGTACAGTTGACCGAGATAAAGCCAAGATGGACGCTTCATGTGGAAAAAGAAATTAATTGTCCAGTAAAACTGGTTCGGTCCCCAGCAAGCCAGGAGGCTCAGCGTCATAACTGTTAAGGTGAACAGTGCTCGCGACGATTCCCCCGAGTGTTCGTTACGTTTCATGCTAAAATCACTGATCTGACGCTGTCCCATACGGCGCTGGAACGCTTTATACAGGATGAATGGACACACGCCAACCACTGCAATCACCGGGACATCGAACACGACGAAGAAATTACCGAAAATCCAAGCCGCTTGCGCCGGATCTGAGTCATCCAGTTCGCATTGATTCGGTAGTGAATTAAAATAAAATTGGTTATACACAATGTTCGGAATGCAGAGTATGTGAAGTCCGATTAAGACACCAAGGCACAGAGCAATCGCAAGTTGTTTCGTGTGCCTTTCTCGATACGATACCGGTGAGATGATCGCCCAGACGCGGTTAACAGCAATTAAGAAATGACAGTAAGCGGACATTCCGGTTGTCACCCAATAGGCGTAGATGTTAACAATGCAGGCGGCCAGTCCAAGGATCCATTCACTGGCAACGGCGTAGTTGTACATTTCAATCGGATTCCCCAACACGCAGTAGCTGAGAAGATTAAAGGTTAGTAGAGAAATAATGTAGATGCTAAAAGCGTTTTGGAGCTGCTTGTGTGCGATAAAGAGGACCAACAATGGAAGATTTGTAATCAGTACTAAGGTCGACAAGGAGAGTTCGATCCACAGGGATGTTTTGCTTGATAGGTCAACCACAGAAGCATTTATCTGCTCCTTCACGGTATCGTTTTGAGTCATATCCAGCGATTCGCCGATTTGCTAATTTGAACGCTACAGTAGTTACCAGTTACCACCTTACTTCATCGACACACAATTTCAAGTGTCGGACAGAAGTGCGTGCATGGGGAGCAAGAGAAGCGAATTCTTATACTAGTAACTGCATTATCATCTGATTAAACATCAGCGTCAAGAAGAATGCGTTTCAGAATCGCGCGTTTACACTAGGCTAGGTTCACCGCATAATACACGGAAATGCCCACACCTTCAGTTATTTCCACGGAATAGTCTCTAAACGCACAGCATACCTGCTTGTTTTCTCTCTCTGGAGATGACGGTAAAAGCAATCCATAAAGGGGATAGTAGATGTTGTTCTACAGTTTATCTGGACGTGATCCTCAGTTTCCGCGGACGTGTTTGTATTACGTTTATGCCCAGTGGTACCAGTACAGTGAATACACTACAGTATCTGCTGTGTCATATGCATTGTAGGTTTACCTTATAATGTAAGCCGAATTCACTTGAAAACTGAGCTGTTCACGAACATCATATCAAACATGCGCTACAAAATAAATATGATGACGATTTTTCCTGCGCAGGTTTTCTGTTCTGCCTAAAACCCACTTCCTTTCGGAATTGTTTGCACTGCGACCTTTAAGATCTACGTCTACGAAGCGGTCAACATTCAGGGACAACAGAGAGATCAGCCAAGAGAACTGGAAGATTTCCGCCAAACATGGACCATTCCCAACACCACGAACGCAACGACTGCCAAATTCGCCTTGACCAACGCCTTTCCGGTATTGCCCGAAAAGCAGTATGCTCTCTCACTGCAGCTTGCAGTAGGTTCTGTGATTAACGAAAACTTTTGCGAAATACGATAAAACTGGAAGCAGTGCCACAGAGTTATTCTTAAATTATACTTTACTTAATGACATCGGGAAAACCAGCCCTGTATGCCCACAATCCCACGCTATTCGTGCACCCGCTATTCGTGCTGAACCTATAGAAATGGTCACTTCCGCGGAAGTGACCATTTCTAGGTTCAGCACCATTTGTCAACCGAATCCGAGCCGGCAACCACACGGCCGTGTGGTTGCCGGCTCGGATTCGGTTGACAAATTTCTCCGCCAATACTGCTTTAGCGAACCAGAACTGAAAGAGCTGGCTGATTTCTTCCGCCAGTAATATACCCGACTGCAAAGCAAATAAACGTATAATTATTTTTATTTAAAATTGCAGTACCTCTATTAAGTATCATAATACGAGTACAACTAATCAACAGTTAAGCAAATAATTACTAATCAACAGCTAAGCATGAGATCGATGAATTAATTTACTGGCTATGGAAAAATTTAAAAAAAAACAGCATAATTATATAAATAACAAACGCGCAATTAAGCCATGAAATACTGGTTGAAGTTCATCAATCGATAAAACACTTTAAATTGTAAAAAGCATGTAATACGCAAACCAAACCTTGGCTGGTCCACCGGCAACTTCTTCGGGCGTCATAACAGGGAATCTTATCAGGAACAGTGCATCCCCTAAAACCGTCCGCTGATTGGCTCCGGTAACATCGTTTTTTCTGCTCACACTGATGACTGGCCCATCTGAAAAATTATAATGGGAAAAATCATGAATTCGTTCAGTGTTGTCTTTAAGGCTCACACATTACTTAAATTTGCAGTTAAGGTTTTAGCATCAACACGTATACTTCGCTTTGCCCATTATTTTAATCAGTACCGCTTTAGGGATCAATATATTAATCACTTTTACTGCATAGATGCAGTGCTGGTCTTACTGCATAGATTGCACACTGATAAGCTGCGTAGGCTGCATAGACTGAATGGTAATGCATAGACTGCATTTCAGTCAGCCGTGGTTGTTCATGTAGCCGCCCGCCACAAAGGCTCTCAATTCGGTAAAGTGATTAATATATTGATCCCTAAAGCGGTACTGATTGAAATAATGGGCAAAGCGAAGTATAGTCAAAAGTCAAAACGAATATTTGTTTTACAAGTCGGCGCCGTGCATACTTCATAACTGCGCTGTATACATCCATCTCTTTGGCCTTTATAGTGTCGCGACGTAGAATTAGTTTCAACATTTCCAAATCAATTTCCAGGAAATCTGCGGACTGCAGTACGGAGGCTCCCCATAAATCAATCTTCGCCAGACAGAAGTCCTCCAGATTCGTTTCGTCATACAGCCGTGCCTGGGTAAAAAACCATGTACAAAAAACACAACGCAGTATTAACAAATTGAAACAACCGTTTGTTATTGACGCAAATTTCCGAATTAACACGAACTGACGAATAATTAATACGAATAGTTAATACGAACTGACAGCTCATTAAAGGCAGTACTACCGTTATTGCTACGGTTTAATATTTATTCCAGAAGTACTGCACTGCAACAATTAGCGTTCTAACCAAACCCGTTCAGTGCACGGTATATAGATATTAAGTATATTATACGGTGCACGGTATATATCTATATTACAGATACTACTTTAAAAGTAGTAACTGTTCAGTACCTGAATACACCAAGCCAGGCAGTTATCGGCAGCCACATTCTGTCTCAAATACTGTTCGCAGGCGTCCTTCAGAATTGGGATACCGTATTTCTTCGCGGCATAAAGGGCCGAAAAGGCAGTCAACTTGCTGAGCGGCCCAATTTGATCGTGATAAATATATCTGCAAGTTGTACAATAATTATTATTAATATTATTGACATGGTTAGTTTACGTATCCGTGTACAGCAGCGTACCTCAAAACAATTCGGAACGTCTCGGAGTCCATGTCAGTAATTTTAATAATGCTGGTTGTCTCTTTCATGGTGCCGTAAAGCATCGTTTCAAACACCGCACTACCCCAGCAGGATTCTGTAATGTTCAGCTTTCTATAAGTAAATATTTTTCTTATCTTTTACGCAAGCAAAATTAGCACCAAGCAAAATAACAGTATAGTTATACCAATATGTAACGATAACATAATAATTATTATGCTAGTATGTGTTGTAAGTACAACTTACAAGTACAGTACGAGACACTCATTATCGACACAAGTGACTGGCAAATGCATAGCATTAGCATAAGTAGATACGTACAGTAATACCGTGTTAACTACAATATTACACTCATATGGATTTAAACAGGTAAGTGAACTGGATCTTAAAACTTCCGATTTAACAAAATATAGATATTATTAGAATTAATAAAAGCCATTTGTGATAAGTCCGATTCCAGTACCCGATTACTTTAGCTGTGTAGCTGTGCTACTGACAACTTACTTGTGTGCTCTGATGTCGACACTGGGGGTATCTGGCGCCTGAATCCGGAAGATGACATCGCTCAAAATATCCTTCCCCAAAATGTGCTTGCCTCTGTTGGCAATCGTGGAGTGCTGACTCTGCCATCCCCAAATTGGCTCCACAGCTTGAGCATTAGGGTCCATCGTGATGGGATGATGGCCAGTGTAGTCCGTCGGAACGACGCTGGGGATGATTATACGGATTTACTGAAAGATGAGGGAATAATAAAGAGCACGCCAAAACTCAATATCCAACAAGGGACCTTCGAAGTCCACAGAGCGTGCAGAGTCTGCCGCGGCCACGATGCATCTCGTCGCCAGTCCGCGAAAAGTCGACTATCAAGTATTAAATCAGTAATTACAAGCCCATCCAACAATTCTTTGACCGCTGTAAGCGCAGCGCATATAAATCGCGCATAGTAATGCAAATACGCATCGTAGTGTAGTGGCAGATATATTTATAAATATTCAACCAATACGAGTATATTAGATCACAATTAATAGACCATTATTAGACCAACGTGGAAATTTGGAATCAATCATCTTTAGCCCGGGCATGTTGCAATCAGTAATTTGAAAGTAATATGGATATTAAGTACCACCGCGATATTGTATTGCAAAGCAAAGATAATACTGTTACAAAAGCATAAAATTAATATAAATTATGATGGCAATAAATAATGCTAAACATATTACATTGTATATCACAGATACAGTAACTGCAACACATGCAGATATTTGGTGCTTATTTACGCAGAATACGCAGACCCATGTGGCGTGACGTGTCGAAGCACATTAAATGGCTCAAGCCCACGTTTCTTTAAATTCCCGCTTACAGCGGTCAAAGAATTGTTGGATGGGCTTGTACATACTCGTACTCATGGTCAGAATACTGTATGCGGCGCTGGGCAGTGGTGCCGGCACGCCTATACCGACAGCTGTACTGTTCATTGGTCAGTGCGACAAAGGTGAGCTAAATGAATCAGCACGAGGGTGCGCTCGGACAAATCACAAAATAAAAATTAATTACAATTAGTAGTACTGTATTTGATTATTTTGTTATAATTACAGTACAATTACTACAAACTACAAAGGAAGTACGTGTTAATAGCACAACACAGAAATGAAACCTCCCGAACTGTACAAAAGTGTACATGCATATTACACAGATACAGTACTACCTTTGATTTAGTAAAAATTTCGAAACAATATATTGGTAAAAACTAAAAAGCTTGACTCTCCTCCAGTACCGGCAAATAAATTTGTGGAAAGCAAATAAACAATGCGCCAGAATATGTGCCACTGTCGACTTTTAGGGTCGTTCTACTTGGCCTCCGGCACTAGTAAACTCACTCGAGTAAGTACAGTAATCTATACGGCAGCTGCTGTGGTACACTCTTTGTTCTGGTTCCCTGCCTGTTTTGGTACGGGCGATCGCTGCACGTTTATCGGGTTGTTGGGCAATGGATAGTATGGTGTTGTATGTGCCGTAATAGTGTAATGTGCATTTGAAACAGTACACTATTGGGGATATGACGAAATTTTTAATCAATTGCAGTTTAGAGAAAAACAATCAACATGACAAAGCAGTATACTCAATCAGCAGAAAACAGGCTCGGGAGGTCTGAGGACGGAGCACAACTGATCTACGTGCGCTCCCAGTGGAGCTGTTCAGTGTTCACTGAACGGAGGCCGCGTTCCCGCGCTGGATTGCTATGCTGATACGCGGGCGCAAATTTTCCGGTGCTCGTACGTTGTCGGATTCTTGCCGTACCCTCCTACCCACTTCCGTATGCAGACTGGTAGCTTCCGTTCCGGTTGGTCCTAGCGTTTCGAAGACCAGAGCGCTGAACAGGTAGTCCCGGTACTCCTGGATAATGTTCTGGTACTTGCTTGCCGTATCCTGTTCGGCCTTTGCCGCCACTGATCCAGCTCGCACGGATGTCGCCGTGATATGCGATAAGGCCACCATACAGACGCATGTGACACTGACATCCAAGTCGGAATTCTTCCTCTTTCCCACAGTACACTTGCAGTTGGAAACTACGGTACTTTACTCAGATACGAAAATCTGTAGTAGAGATTATTAATGTGTCGCCTACCATGTTATTGGCTGGTATTAAGAAAATCGCCGTGGGTAAAACATATCTGATTAATTACATGGATAAGTTTCGCTTTGCTGAATATCAGAATATTAAAAATTTTTCAGCAAAGAATTATATGTACAAGTACTCGAATATTTATACGGCCCAGCGTAGTATCTCACTTACCAAAAGGTCGACCCCTATACTGAAACAACCCGTTCAAAAAATGTACTCGTTCATTGTCCGGCATGTAAAACTAAAATTTACGTTTACAGAATATTGAAGCTTGATAAATACAGATACTCGTACAGTAGAAGCGTATTCCTATTCCTATTCCTATTCCTATTCCTAAAAAAGCAATGCAATCTACGGTACTTCGGTAGCGATATTGAGAAATCCGTCTAACTTTAACGGAAGTATGTTTCAACTACTCTAGGGTCTGAAGACGCTGTTCGAAATCAAAATCGGGATTAACGCTATTTGTGCAATAGAAATCAGAGTAATACTAATGATAATAACTGGTTTGTAATTATTATAAACCAGTTCGGAAGGATTTTTGCCAGAAGGGTAATTTCGTTCCACTAGTTTATGTAAAATTTTGTAGTAGAGTTTTGAATCGAATATTAGAGTCTTGTCTTTCTCATGCTGTTTTTCTGGTTGTCAACAATCTGTTAGTTCTTACAGTAGATTGGTTGACATATGAATATATCACAACCAGGGTTAAAGTTAAAAATTTGTAGTGCACTGTGCAAACTAACTGATCAGTCTCGGTGTCTTTTTTCTGTAATTGTTGTTTCTCTCTTTTGCATTCGATTTGGGTTTATTATCATTTACACAGCTGCTGAGTTTCATGATTAAGAGCTTGATTGTCTGCAGTTGCCTGTCTGCCAGATCAAAGAGCTAACTGGAAGATGAACATCACTGCACCGGCAAACGATACAAGTATTCTATTTACTACGTCACGCATTGCTAATTGCTTTTCTAGATACAAAGAGTGGAATGATATCTGTCAGTACAACAGACAGCAAGTAGAACAGGTGTACCTATTCTACATCTTCACATATTTATCTCTTTTGGTGGTTTGCACGATCGGCAATGTATTCATTCTGGTTATCCTAATGCGCAGTTTGCGCAAGTGGAAAGCATCTGCGCGAAGTTACATGTTGGGAACTGCCATTGCCGATCTCGGCGCTCTGTAAGTAGCCTCTGCATCGTCCATCGATGCAGTATAATATCTTTTCGTGGCACATGTGCACGTTTAAAAATGTTCTGTACAGATATGCTGGTCAGGACGAAATTGGTTTTTGTAGTCAGATTACTAATGGCTTCGCGGTCTTGTTGGCTGCTGATAAAATGCTACCCAGTAGGATACAACAAAACCGTTGTGTACTGTATGGGCTGTACCGTGTTTAATTATAACAGTCGCTATCACCTTACAATAGTTACACTCAATCTTCAACTCCCTGCAGGGAGATGCAACTCCGTGGAGCTGATTGGCCCCGCCTTGCGCCGTTATTGGTCGCTGTGCTCTTCGGAATTGCAACTACGGTCTACGGCGTAGACCAGCTAAATAGCTGGTAAAGCTTCGCCGTGGACGTACCCCGACAGGCCCGACCAAACTAACCTGAAGTTTGAAGTCAATTTTCAACTTTGATGCCATAGACAGGCAAAAATTTATTTTCATGCATTTCCGTAAACAGAAGCACATCATAACTATTCAAGAAATTTTAACTTTCCAAAAGTAAATTTTTGATTCTTTCATACTATCGCGCACATAAGCATACTATGTAAGTAGTAAAGTTTTAGAATATATATAGTAATATTTTGTCAGTACAATAAAGTTTTTTTGATTCTCCGTTAACTACCCCGTAAAAGGGACAACTCCGGACGCGCAAAACACTGGAAATCACCCTCAATCTTCGTTGTTAACTTGAACTGGGAGACGTATTCTTATTCGCTGCTTGAAACACTCCCCCTCTCCTCGGGGTTGCCAGCCCGTGCAGGGAGTTGAAGATTGAGTGTAACTAATATTACATGCATAATGCATCTGCGGAAAGTCAGCTTCGTCTTGAGTTGTAGATGTATGCCTTCCAGCATCGTAAAATTAATGGCTTGCAATCAGTTTCTCAAACAAAATGCAAGCACTTATAAATCTTTAAATTATTTTTAGATGGTTAGGATTGCCATTGTGCGTCGACAATATAGGGATATCATATCAGCTACGGTTTTTTAACTATTCGAACGTATACTCAAGTTTCGTGCTTCTGGAAGGGTGCACACTGTGGTTTCAACAAATTTGCATGCACTGCGCTGACTGGTAAGCCTTACGAATAAACAAAATTGACAAGACAAATTCACGACAAGGCAAATTCAGTATGAATAATTTGTACGGTCATCTTGGGTGTTTGGTCCTCAACGATCCTGTTTCTGATAAATTTTATCTAGGATGCTAGTGGCATTTAGCTGGGAACGACTACTAATAATTATTAACCCATTTCGCTTTGGATCGTTGCAACGAGTGTCGACGGCCTGGATTATAATAGCGATCCTATTTCTCGTAGCGCTACCGATTGGGGTATTCAAGTTTGTGGTTTCCTGCTTGTTGTATAATGACATAATCATCATGCCAGCTTGGGTTAATCGATGGTCAAAGATTGACCGTTCGGCTAGGGTAAGAAACCTTGTACCACACAGCTTATGAATTCAATTTTAAAATGCGGATGGAAATCTTTTTATTTTACTATTATTTTTACTTGAGTCCTGGTGCTGAGCGTACAACTGGCGTACAAGCATGCCCACAAAACGACCGACCTGTGTACATAATAATACAATATAACTGTAAGATATATGGACGATTTACTCAAAAAACTCGACCCATTATCAGCGGCGCCTGTATTTCCGCTTATTTCACCAGTGTTCCTTTGTGTTATGCATGTATTCCACCGGAATTCTGACTAAGAAAAACTAAAAAGCTAAGAATGACCTAAGAAAATTAAAATGCCGGAGGAAAGCGCGGGAATACAGGCAGAACATACACGAATACCGGTGGTCGACTAGGCG